AAAGTTTAAGTGATAGTTTCTGTAGACCTAGTGTAGGCTGGCCGGAATGGTCGAAAGGAGAGAACCCAGGATGAAAGGTTGAGGAAATTCACGTCTGGGTGTCCGATGATCATGCACTTCCACGGGGATGATATAGTTTGCCTGAAAAGCAACCAGCGCTTTTCGTCCGCGCAGGACTATAATGGTCTGGCGCGAAAATTAGATCGGGAACTAGGGTTCTGAAAACTAGGCGAGCAATGGAGAATGAGTCACCAGCTCCTAATCAACTGCCAGGGTGCGAGTGTCCAGGCGCCATTCGCGGTGTCTATGCCCCAAGAATTCCGACCTGCATATGCCAATGAGGGAAAGGCTGGAGTCGAAGTGCTCACCCAGACACATCAAGGACGGAGGATGCGGGACAGAGGCCCCTACAGCGCCCAAAGCTCGCCCCGGACGAGTAGAAAAAACAGTCACCACGATTAGACCCAAGTCCTAGAGCCGAGAGCAAAGACTCTTGATCCCTTCCTTCCCCTCCCCTATGTAGGGAAGAGTGCAGTATAGAATATAACTATAGTACAGTCCGATAGTATACCGGTCACCAAGAATAGCTCGCATTGCGCGCCCCCTAAACCACTCATGACATAACTTTCTGGCCCGCATAAGTCTAAAATATTGCACATCCTCGGGATCAGGATCCTAGGGGTGTTGAGAGACGTCCAAAATAGCGCCGGGGTACTGTTGGTAAAGCTTACCCTTCAATTCGGTAATGCACCCTTTCCACACGAGCATTTCCCAGCGTCCATTGTTGAGCTGCATAGTATGGGCCACAGGGGAGAGGCTGTCGGCCTCTCGGCCAAGGTCCCTTGGAGCTAGTGGACCATCTCCAGGATGAAAGCGTACGATGGTGTATTGATCGTAGATCGTCCGGGCCACAACTGGGCTGCAAAAGTTAGATCGTAGTGAGACACAAGATACAGAATCGATGCCATACGAGAACCATGACGGAGTTGGGGGGCCGAGTCTGTCGGAAGGGCATAAGCCATCACCGGTGATCGCCTCGCGAACTGAGTCCTGGAAAGAACGTACGACATGTTCCACTGTGACAGTGATGACTAGGCCGACCAGGGTCTCGGTTTTGGCGTCGCAATCGAAGATCGAATCAGAGAGCAAAAGGCCACAAAACCGGTGAGAGAGTTCATACAAACAGAGCGCGAAATGATGCATGATTATGGCTGCAAGCCAGTGGAACGTACTGCAATATCAAAATTACGCCGTCGATGTGAAATGAGTGTTAGTATGCGAAAGGCCCCGGACAGTTCAGTCAAGTTGCAGGATACGCTTGCATATTTGACACCCCAAGAGCGCCACCATACTGACGAGAGAACAGGGCCTCGCTGTGGACCGACAGTTTTTGGCCGGTCCTCCACTTGGCGGTGGAGTAAGGAGAAGAAAGGCGTAATTAAGGCGTAATTAGGCGATTAATGAGCCTCCCTCCCTCACCGGTTTCATATATCGAATTATATCCCGCGACATCGTACCGCCTTTCTATACGCCCTACTCCTAAGGAAAGGTAACAGCTAAAGGAATTTCTCTAAATATTTAAAGGTATCATAACTCTACTAGGATTTCTTATACCACTCTAAACTTCTCGTCGAAAGTTCGCGTCCTTACTATTCAACCGCACTCGAAATATATATTACTAGAGAGGATGTCTACAGAAACAAATCCTCGTCCTCAATTAGTTTCAGCGAACACTTCTTCTCGGAATATTAGGAAAGTAATCGTCCACCAAGGGGAAGGTGAAAAGGTAGAGGAGGTACGGACGAAAATTATCGAGAGGATACACCATTCATCATCAAGGGAGGCAGATCGAGAGACTTCTACAAGATATCATCAAACTGTACGGTATCTGGAATAACACTATTATCGTTCCAGCTAACTTATTTCCTAGCCACTGCCTTAATCGCTTTGGAAGTTAGAGAAAAGGGACATGTCGCCATTCTTTTCCAAAAGTCCATATCTCACAATACCTAAAGAGACACCCATCCGTCCTCGGGATTTAAGTCTTCTCTGGAGGATCTACCAAAAAGAGTTAGATGACAGAAGTGGCGGGACGAGCAGGGACTCGTAACATCGCCCCAACAAAAGACAGAGAGATTAAAAAGGGAGCACTCTTCCTTAGGAATTCGTCGATAAACTTGACGCAATAAAATATGTCCCTTAGGGCGCGGCTTCTACGACTCGCACTCACACTGTTCGGACCTTTTATCGTCTGTGTTGAGCCCTTCATCGGCTTCCTTAGTGACATATTCCTCGCGTTTCAAGCCATTTGTCAGGCTATCAAGGGACTCCGAACCCTATGGGAAAGGAAGCAACCAAAATATGGCCACCTCGATTGAAGCGATCAGATTCTACGATCACCATTACTATATCAAGGCCGACCTGACGACCGTGGAGGAAGCTAAGCGTACGCTACCTGGAATCCAAGAAGAAATTCAGGTGTGCTATGGGGAGTTTCTGATACTCTACGTTGGAGATGAGAATACCTTGAAAGATGTCTTCGGAGAGAATTTAGTGCGAAAGAGAGAACTCGAGGATGAAGACGACGATGTGCTCTGCATCCCCCAGAGGAAGCTTGATCAACCGGCAAAGGGATTATGTTCAAAGGGAGAAGGCTGTTGAGAATCATGTCTCAACTCAAGTAGTTGGAATTCCAGCCAGCCTCCGGATTCGAGATGTTAATTAGGTGGTTAACGTCCTTCCCCAAATGCTGTCCTTGGGAACTTACTCAAGGCATTGCTAGATCAAAGCAGGCAAGTCTTTCATAAACCCTCCAAATCCACGGAAAAAGATAAATCGGAACGGAAATCTCCATGTCCAATCACGGGGATCCTCGATGTCGCACATTTCGAATGTGACGTCTGGGGCGACCCATGTTGTCTGCATTACACTCTCGTCGGTACCGGTCACCGTACACGACGGGTGTTCGTCCCCAACGTTATTAGCCCATATGCCCGTCCGAGCGTATATTTCATGAACTCTTCCTTCTTTATTTAAGTCGACCAATGCACGGTAAAGCTTCCCGAGAACCTAGTCAAGAGGTGATGGCGGAGATCGTGATCTTTTCGCGCTTCCTCGTCCTTGATTTGAGCACCTTTGAAGCCCCTGAGAAGACAAGAAACTCGTACCACGTCCATATAGACGGCCATTTAGCGTAGAATATCCAAGGTGTGCCATATGCACCGAACACATACTGAGTGACCATCTTGAAGGCTCATTAGCATGGTTGATTCGGACCCGGAGGGGAAGCGTTGGCACCCAGGGCTCCCAATGGCCGAATCTCAAGGGGACTGAATTCCAAGTTAGCAGTCGTAGTAGGGGGCTCCCCGCTTGATCCTTTTCTCACCTGAATCTGCCTGAGGTTCATCAGCCTCGGGGGTTGTCGCCATATTTTCCCTTTGCATTGACAGGCTCTCACGATGGTCAGAACCGGCGGCGGATTGGGGAACGAAACTCAGCTTGGAGAGGGAGACGAGGCGAGGTCTCGCCGGTAATCGTAGTTGTCGTTGTTTGGAGAGCTACGGGAGGAAGTTACGAACTGGCAGGGTAGTCGACTAAATATATTCCGGAGAGGGACCACAAAAGCCCTCCGTAGTCTGTGGGGCCTTCAATCTTGCTTCAATCGCTTCGGTCGCTCCGCTTTCCGGGCGTTCCAGCGTGAAGACAGATAAATCCCAATGATTAAATAGGAGACCCAGCCGTAGTAAGCAATCGCAACAATACAAAGACAATAGAGTAACTGCACCATCACCTGATAGACTGTGGACTTGAGGACTGGAAAGAGGAGTGGGATTAGGAAGGTAGTTATAGCAATGCTAAAGGGATTCATTCACTAATTCTCGACGTTGCTTTATATAATTTGCCTGTCAAGTTCAGGTTCACCCACCTCGGGAATTGCCGCCATATTTCTTTTTCTGACAGACCACTCTGGCGATGGTTAGAAGTGGCTACTCATTGGGGAACGGGCCAAAAAGTGTGAGAAGAGGTCTAGTGGATGACCGTTGTTGGCGTTTATTTGGACGGCTACCTGATGTGACGACAAGGACAGTCGTAGCGTATCGTCCCCTCGAGACATGGGAAACGGAGAAACCAAAGGCGTGGATGATGCCACCTTAGGTCCAGCCCTCGTCATAAGATCTATGCTGCGGAAGCAACGGGCCTGGTCGAAAAGCAATAAAGGTGTGAATGCAACAAAGATGCTTAGGCTTCACGTGATATAACTCCGTTAACGGAGTTATATCACGTGAAGCCTAGGGCGCGGACATGCCTTAGTCTATGACGCTCAGGCATTGGCGTACATAGTCGTGGAGGAGAGCACGGAGAAGAGACCCACGAAGCACCATGATTTATATTAATGTTTCCTATAGCGAGCTGAATAGATGACAGAATTGATCGTGAAACGCCTTGACCCTCCTGGGGGAACCATAGCCCTATCACTCTCCCTTTGGAAATACCTGCTTTTACAATCCGTCTTAGTATAAGAGACTTCCGCAACTTTCACACTGCGTAGCTTGCTGGACCACTTCTAGTAGATGCTGGTGTCGTTCATCAATCGCAGCGGTGTCACGCAAACCGTGGTGTATCGTCTTGACGCAAACGGGACAGAAGAAAGATTCTTGGTGATTCCTCTTGATATGAAGTGCTTGAATCTCCTCAGTTCGATATTCGGTAATGCCATGGTTGGTTCGAAGGTGGTCTGTGATATTCGACTCCTTTTGGTAACAGGCCTTCTGACACGAATGATACAGAGGGTAAATCCATTGCTCCTGCGGTTCGTGCGCCATCCGGTCGTGTTTTTTCCATTGGTCCGCTGTGAACGACATATGATGGTAGTTCAGGAAGCCGGAGGCGTACAAGATGTAAGAACCCCAAGGAAAATTTCTTGCCATCAATTAGTATTGTTCAAATCCATGGGAAGTCTCTTTTACCGCCCGTTCTCCATATTTTGCAGACTTTTCGAGTTATTCCTTGCATTGTTTCTCTGCTACCGTTGACATAGGCTGGACGTATGAGTGATCAGAATAAGTTCCCAATGAATCTGCCAGAAAGGGATCTGAGATGTCGATCTCGGTATTCCGTTCCTCCCTGCATATCTGATAGCGTAGAGAAAAGCAAGACCCATCATCCCTTCCAGTATGTTGTGTGGAATCCACCTTATGCTCTTGTAGACAGTACACGGTCCTGGAAGACTGCTCGGCGTGCCCCGAAGCACATGCCTCAGTTTGGATCGGCTGATCAACCGAGGGTAATAACGAAGCTGAGCTGTGAGAAGTGATAGATTCGGAGTTCTCGAGGTTGCGCTCTGGATCTTCGTCTAGCTTGGGAGGGATCAATGACAATTCAGGGGGTCGCTGGGCGCTCTCGCTGCCCTTTGTAGAAGCATTGCCATTTTTTTCCGTCTCCTTATAACTTTCAACTATATTGTTACCTGCGGGCGACATATTTTAGGTATGGTCGAAGTATTTCTAGTTGTGATGACGGTCTTCCGAGGAGCGGTATCGGTAGCGTTGATGTAAGTAAAACGGCTTTGTCGACGGATCGATTCTAGGATGATATTGGGTCGGTCGATCGGATACGGCGTTGGGGGAGGTAGGTGTTTCACCGGGCAAGAGGAAAACGGGACAGATATTCAGTTACACCAATCGATGTGTCTTCAGCCGAACAGAGATGCAGGCTTCAATCCGGGACTCAGTCCACATGGCTCTTTGGGGACGCAGAGACAGGTTTAAGTAGAATGGGCTGGACGTGGCGGACAAGATCGGGAGCGATGACAATCTGAGATTGGCTGAATGCTCGCGAGGGTCTAGCGTTTACTAAATTAAAAGACCCACTAAATCGGGGCGTCACTTGAAACCACCTTTATAAAGAACGCGTAGATTTGACTGGCTGAGAATAGTGGAACTCCCCCATTCTCGGCTAGTGAGCGTCGTACTTTCCCCCCCGGTCCGTCGAGTTGAATCGAGGGGTGAGGGACGGTGACCAGATGAATGTAGCGGTACGTAACATTCGCCCTAGTTACAAGCAGTGGTAGGCTAGGAAAAGCGGAACAAGAGAAAGAGGTAGGTCATGTATGCGTCAAAATCCGGATAAATATCCTTCTCTCTTACTCTCCCAGATTCGAATGCTCGAACTTTCCAAAACATTCCAAAAGTTCGGGCAATTGCATCCCCAAAAGGACTAGATCGTGAAGGTTCCTAACAGGATGATCGATCGTTCTCGTCTCATCGCCCCACTTCCAACTAATCCTCAAAACAAGGCGGATACCTTCCACCTGGCCATCAACTGCGTAAAAGTTCTGGATTGTGCCAACAAAGTTCTGGATTTCACCAACATTTGTCTTAGGTGCGATAGATCCCTCCCAGTACACAGGATCCACCCATTGGCCTGCGTTATTCACCGTGATCTTGACATTCGAACTGCCTGGGTTGCTCAACCCGACAATGGTGGCGAGATAGAGCCTATAGCCTTCCAAACGTGGGTAACTTTTCGTCTGTGTTGCTCTCCAAAATTCAAAGTCTCGGATTTCCCAAATTATCTCTGTTATTTTGGACCAAACTTGTGTCATGAACACTGTATTCGCCGGAGGGCGGCCAAACGTCAAGAGTGCGGTATGTAATTGTATAATAGCTGGTAGCCTGGTAATTGCCCGCGTGATAGCTGTGGATTTTTGTGGATAAACAAGACAATATGCCATCCCGTCGTCCATTATAACAAATGTGAGCGTCTCATCGACCGTCACGCGAGATTGGCGATTCAACGTTATTGCTGTCCCCGATATATCAACTGTTGCTTCTGTGAGTAAATCCAGAGGAGAGATTGTTGCGAGGATATTCCCAGGCTTCAGCCAACGTTTGTCAAGGAAAGTCCGTATTCGTATCGTTTTCCATTCTGTGCTCGGTGGAATCCCTGACGGCCACGATGGTTTAGCGGGAGGTACAATGGCCGGTGCAGTGGCGGTTGCATTCATTATGGTCTCAGAGGATGCACAGGTTCTGGGAGTAGAGACAGATCATCGAGGATAACAAGATATAAGGCCTGAGCCAACAGAGGACATTTCGTCATGGAGTTCAACGTAGCTGGCGATTTATCAAGGAAAGTGGCGCTACTACAGACTATATTTGATTTGTGCAGGAGCCAAGAAGCGAAACGAACATTAGGAGGTCGAGGGGCGGGTCCTTTGGATAGCTTCTGTCTTCAATAGCTCCATGTCGAGCGGGCCCCCTAAGGGTAGCCTTTGATCTCGACCCTATGCCGTGCTACCACAACAGCGGTCCGGTGTAGACTCAACCAGTCAAATACCAAATGGCTTGATTTTGAAAGCAGTCGTTGGATAGATCGGATGACACATCACTGACGGCTTGGGAGAGCTGAAGATGGCGTGAAGTGGGGCCCGAGACTGTGGGTAGAGAGCCTTCCGGCTTGTTAATGTTAGCTAGTGGCTCAGTATGGGCGGTTTCCAACTCGTCGAAGGAGTCGAACTCAAATGGGAGATTCTCTTCGTCGTCGTCTTTGATTGTTGCCGGACAGTCGTCACCATCGGCCTCCCTATCTGCGTCTAGGTCGATGGCGGGTGCGTTGTTAATAAGCTTATCAGCATCTGCAAGTGCCGTTTCGGGGTCAGCCATATAGTTGACGAGGTAGTTGTGGATATCAGCAGTTGTCACTCTATGCGACGGTACCGCGTCCTTGAACTGTATAGCCATAGCGTGAACCTTGTCCTTAGAGTGGGCCTTAATATCCGTCTGCCAGCAGTATAGCATGAACATGCCATAGATCTGGTGCTTATTCGCGTATGTGAATCGGACCTGCATGTTGATGCGACCTGGGCGGATGAGGCGCTTATCGAGCTTAGAGCGCATATTAGTCGTCATGATAGTAATGCCGCCTCGTCTAGCTCGCTTATCCAGGGCTACGAAGACGTTCTCGACCTTAATTTGTTTCCACGATCCTGGCCCCGAGGTGGGTATCATAATCTGATCGATCTCTTCGAGTAGCAAGATGGAATTGGGCGGGATCGACTTAAGAAGGCTCAGTAGCGTACCCGGGGACAGATCAGGCTCGTTGAAGGAGAGGCAGTAGATGCGCATGCGGTAGTGCGCTGCCAGTGCGTAGGCAAGGGACGACTTACCCGTTCCCATGCGGCCGTATAGGAGTAGGCCGAAATGATAAGGTGACTTAATCGTGTCGTACTTTTTCTGCGTATCAGGTTGGAAAAAGTTATCCAACTTGCTGATTAGGTCGTCTTTCTCCGTCTTGTTAAGGATGACCGACTTGAGGTTCCGCGATATCTCTTGGTGCGGCTCACCCCATGAAGCCATAGAGCCGTTGTACTTGAACACGGCCTCGATGACCATTGCATTGATGATACTCTGAGCCAGCCATCTTTTGTTGAAGTCATTTAGTAGAGGCCCGAACTTTGATTCGTCCTGTAAGCAGTATGAGAAGGTAAGAGTTTTGAAAGACTCTTGTCCGTCCTCAACAGCTGTGTAGTTGACCACGTAAACCACGCCGTTCTCCGTAAACGTATATATACCTTTGTCGAGGACGAAATCGTAGTTGACTTGGGGGTTCGACCCCGTGTACTTAGTCTTCAGCACCACATCCGGCTTGTCCTTCAGATTCTCGTGGTTAGAGATCCAGTGGAGAGCCGGGAAGAACAGTTCATCGCCCTCGGTGATCTTCACCGATCTCGTCGACTGGGCGCGCAACAGTGCGTACCTGGCGCCCACGAGATACTTTTGATATCGATTGATTAGACCCTCGGCTGCCGAAGGAAGACAGTACGCCAACCAGAGGAGCCAGTACACGGATCTCCAGCGAAGGGAAAGAGCAAGGACGATGTAGGGCGAAAACGCGCCTTGTGTAATGTAGCTATTAATGCGTGACACATCCTCTTCCTTTGTGAACCAAAGGTCCCTCGAAAGAAGTACGTCCATCACCGATCGAGACGCCGTCTCAGACATAGTGTTCCAACTGGTTATGATAGACGGCGTACTGTATATCAGTTGTCAGCCAGTCAGGAGAGGCGCAGGGACTGAGAGACCGGAGCAGAGTGCCTTAGCTGACAAGAGGTATTCGATCAAGGTGACGAGCACAAGACAAATAAAGAAGCGTTCGATTTGCAGCTTACCCGAGAAGTCATCTCCTGATGGACAGCCGCATCTTATATAGACAATAGGGTTCCCCGAGAATAGCGTAAAGTATTGCCAGGGGTAATGGGTTCAATGAGTTCCGTGGTGGGAATCAGGCTAGTAGGCTAGCCACTGCGAAGGTCCTTAAATACGATGCCACGATGCCACGACCCACCTCTGCCGTGGAGATGGGGGGTTTGCTGGTCGCGCGCCCTAAATTATACTAAATCCATGCTCGGACCGTCTCGAGGGGAGAGATAGCTCTCGACCAATGATCTTTAACAGACCGGCTGATCATTCGCTACTCCAATTTGGGAGCAACAAAGTGTCGATCAAATGTTGTATTCCCCTATGCAAAACAGCTCCGAGACACCGTGGGTAAGTGTGGGATCGAACCAGAACTTCCTTTTGTGACAACCTCGATTTCTCTTGTTACGGTGCAAGCCATTTACAGCCAATAGTACCATATCCATTTTCCTAGTACCACGCTTGTTACGGAATCGACAAAGTCGTGGTCGCTTGCTCGCTATCCATTATAGAGATATCGTCCCCCTCGAAGGGTAATGGGATCTTCTCATCTTGAAAGAGTTTGATCTTCTCTTGTCTAACTGTTAACCTATACCTCTTCGAATCGGTGGTTGAAAGGAAGTCGATGGAGGTGGGAAATGTTGACTCCCACGGCGGCCATGCGTAGACCGCCCCCTTATGTCGAACTCTATCCAGCGTCACTGTTATTTGATCGCAAATCGTACGCAAAAGGAGTATACAGAGACCGGCTTGGCGCTGATCTCCGGTTCGACGTGCGCGTAAAGCTGCATGTGACACGCCACACTCTGACTCTCTCAAGCTTTGCCTCAGAACCTCCATTGTATGTGACACGCCACACTCTGACTCTCTCAAGCATTGCCTCAGAACCTCCATTGTATATGGATGTTCCATAGGAGGGAATATCCGCCTGGTAGCGGAGGCAAAGAGAGTGCAGGCAGGGAATGCTTCCATTTCTTGATCGCACCGAAATCCAAGGTTTGACATGATGTTTACCATATAAGGTTGAATTTGTATCATTATTGCGTCTTGCTCTGGAGGCTTGAACCATGAGGCTGGTTTGGGGAGGGTATTCATGATTCTTTCCGTTGCGGGGGTACTTCGTGTTCTATCAGACTTTAGGGTGCTGATTGGACTGATGAACTGTTGGTCACAATTTTAGACTGTCTTTGTGTTCCTTGAGCACCTTGTTCCAGGTATGAGCGGTGTACAGACAAATATATCACAAAAGAAATGTGAGAAGTGTTGACAATCAGGGGGACGACAGTTTTATATCCCATCTGCCTGGGAAAGGTAGGGTTGTTTGGTGATATACCTCGGTGATAAGGAGGACCCGAAGGGCTAGCTCCTCTATCTCCAATTCCAGACTAACCGAGAGAATTTGGTGATGGCGACGACGGTACCCTCTTCATGAAGGACACTCTCGGCTAGCTTTGTGGATCTGGTTCAAAAGACCGCGACAAGATTTCACGGCGCTAATCTCAGTCCATTATCGGACGGTTGTTTCCGAATGCCACGTTTTATGTATGGGTCGATCCTAGGCGGAAACCCTAAATATGAACTCGTCGTTATCAAAGCATAAATAGTCGCTATAGAGTGCCTTCTGGGATGTGGGAATTTCAGTTGGTGCCTGGAGACGTTTGTAAGGACCAGAGTTCAAAATACCTCCCTCGCTGTTTCAACAGTTCGGCGTGACTACCCCTTTCCACGATAGAACCATCATGTAACACCAGGATAAGGTCAGCGTCCTTGATAGTTGAGAGCCGATGGGCAATTATAAGCGTGGTGTGGCCGCGACATAGATTGCGGAAAGCCTCTAGGATGCGATTCTCGGTGCGAGAGTCGACAGCTGATGTAGGTTCGTCAAGAACAATAAGCTTTGACTTCTTCAGCATGGCTCGAGCAATTCCTATCCGTTGGCACTCTCCGCCGCTGAGCATGATGCCCCCTTCACCAACCCTTGTCTCGTATTTGTCTGGAAATCTCATAATGCTATCGTGTAGTCCCACTGCATTGCATACTTCGATAACCTCCTCATCTGATGCTTTAAGCCTCCCGAATCGGACGTTTTCCATGACCGACCGGTCGAACACCTCGATATTTTGAGGGCTGATGCTGATCTGCTCCCTTAAGCTGGCGAGGGTGACATCTCGAATATCCTGATTATCGATCTTAATGACACCTTTTTTCACATCGTCTGTGCGAAGTAAGAGATTTGCGAGGGTGGATTTGCCGCTACCACTTTCCCCTACGAGTGCAACGGTTGATCCACCTCGGACGGTGAAGGTGACATCACGGATAGCGATATGCTCACCGTCGTACGAGAACGAGACTTGGTCAAATGAAATGTCTCCTGTATGTATGTGCAGCTGCTGGCTTCCGTTCACAACAGTCGGCTGTGTGTGGAAAATCTGGATGAGTTTCTCGATCGAGACTAATTTTTCCCTGATGTCCTTGTAGGCCGTTGTCAGTTCGGCGAGAGTGTTTGATATCGAAGACCAATAAGTGACGAGGCCAATGAAGCTGCCGGGTGATGATGTGCCTTTAACGGCGTCCGCTGTGAAGATAGAAGCTGCTACTAGTAGTCCCAGCTGCAATAATAGTCTCCGGATGTTAACAATTAAATAGTAGCCTTCCTGGTTCTGGAATTTTGCGCTCAGGAATTCTTGCAATACACCTGAGAATGCATTGACCTCGGATTCTTGTCGATTATATAATGAAATAACCCGGTAGTGCTGGATTGACTCCTGTAGAAAATGTGTCATTCTCTCCTCCGTTGTGATATGATGCCGTCGTAACTTAGTGGTCCAGGAAGAACTGTAATGAGCCACGGATAGATAGGCAACGGTTAGAAATAGCTTGACTAGTATGGAATGACCGCCGTTAGTCCGACAGAGGTATATTGTGGCGACGAAAAGGTCGACCAGCGGGGAAATGGGATTGGAGGCCAGCTGGATAATATGGCTGATAGCTTCGCTGGGCCCGATGGCTGCCAAAAGCTCGCTGGACGGCTTAGTACGGTGAAATTCCATTGAGAGATTTAATATATGAGCGTGGAAAGCTTCCATAATGTTCCTGTGAGCGAATCGGGATATATGAGCCGTAGCTGTAGCCTTGAAGATTGTAAACTCTTGAGCTAGCTGGAGAAGAATCCAGAGGTTAACTTTCCACATTAGAGTACCTGTGCTGGTTAAATAGGAGCCAAATAGGGACTCGAGGTGAGCTGACCGTGATTTAACCCTAATGAAAAGCTATCCATAATGTCACCCAGTTGGCGAGGTATTAAGACTTGTAAAGCACGGTCTTTGAAAAAGTGCAGCGCTAACACAACCATCCATAGCTGGATTTTCCGGTCTTTAGAGGGCCATATGTAAGGTTTCAAAATGTAGAGACGTTTGAGATAGAGCCACCTTCTCCGGGTTTGAGAGGCGTGTTGTTGCCAGCGGAAACCTTTGAAGAGCTGAGAGGGTATCGCACGCCCCAAGAGAGCCACGATCACCACTTGCCAAATCTGCAAAAGCCATCGTGCAGTCATGCCGTCGAAATCGAACCGACTATAAGTTGCAAACAGTTGGCGTGGCAGTCGCCCGCGATATTCTCTGAATGTAAGCGGGGAACGCGGTCAGTCCGTGGGACAAGTTGAGATCATAAGAATCGGGGAGGGACCAGCCCAGTGATCAATATATCCTACATTCTGTCTACGGCGCGTCTTGTTAACGATCAACACCTCTTCCTTGACCTTTGTCTGCAGGCGTCCCCAAGCGTTCCGTTCCCTTCCCGCCGTTGATGAAACCCACTGCTGCCTGACGTGAAAGGGCATTTGGAATTGAGCTCGACTGCAAGTGTCATTGGCAGCCCTGTGTCGGATGCATGCTTGAGAGGTAAGCCGTGAGTGAGCTGCAGAAGTAACCCGCCGCTTACGTCTTCGGCTGTTTGGGGGAATATCTGAGTGCTGTTGACACCGACGCCACAATTCTATCAACCTCCCTCTCCATGTAGATTGCCTGAGAGTGTGGCTACTCACCGCCCTTTAGTTGTGACGAGTAACAGACGGGCAGATGACCCTAAGAGATAAGGACGCGACATGATCGTGTTCAAGGGTACTCTTCAACGGATATTAGTTCCCGCTACTATAACTAAGTAGGTGTAATAGCGTTTGATTACTCCGTAGTGGGAATCAGACTGGCCACTAGGGGTCCTAGGGACAGGTTCATACGCGACTTCAATTATTAGGATCTCGGGTTCATTACATTCAAGTCCTGTCCGGTGATACCGGAGGTTTCTGACCAAAATGGATCTCCCTGTCTGAGCATAAGAAGAGGGCGTGGTGGAGGAGGTGAGTTCATCCTTACACTGGGGTGTACGCATGGATCTTTCGATCATTGAGTTCCCTTCTCATCTCAGCTAGCATGGCGTAAACCCTCGTCTCTGACATTTCCAGAATGCCGCAGAACGGTCGCAAAGAGAACCCTTCCAAGCCCTCATGGATGTTGAGACGATTCATCGAACCAAGTGTTTTAAGTTGCTTATTTTTGGGCCACGTGTTGTGAGGTACCTTTCGTGTAACTGTGCTGACATTGATGAATCCAACTTTCCCCATCATGTCTCCGTACTTTTGAGCCAGTTCTGGATCGCGGTCGACTTTTTGCATGGCTTGACGGTAGAGATTGGTCCAATCCTGATAACGGCTGCCAAGTTTGATCGTGCCATCATCCGATTTTGGTAGACCAAAATCCTGAACTTCGAACCAGCCCCCTGGCCGAAGATTCTCAAAAGCCTGTCGGAGGAGCCGAACCGGGGATTGGAGGGAGCAGAACAAATCTCGGGCATATATGAAGTCGAATGGATCGGGGAAGCCCCAGTCCTGTTGGAAATCCCGTAGGTAGAATGTGCAATTCGGTGCGGTCCAGGTTGGCTGAATAGGGCTGATGTCTATCCCTATTACGGTCGCCTCCGGACACTGGTCTGCAAAACCTAATGCCCATATGCCTGTTCCGGTGCCGACATCGAGCACCCTTGCCGGACTGACGACGGGGCATATGTGCAGTCGAGAGTCGTTCATTGTCAAGTACATCGCGTGGCTGAGATCTAGCCTGGCCTTCTCCTTTTCGTCATTGGGGAAGGGATAGAAGACTCCCCTTTGTGGTACATGGTAAGTCCGCCCGTACTCGGTAGGATATTCGTAAAAACTAGACGATAATGATGTAGACCTGGAGGTGAAGACTTCGCTTGAGAGATCACCTATGGCTGAGTCGTGGTCGTCTTGGTTTGGGGTTTCTGGCTCGCCTGCGGATTGGGTTTCCATCATGGTATACCGTGTCTGTACCACCAAAGTCTGTCAGAAAATGCCGGGGCTAGTTTGACATCCAAGGCCGGGCTCCCAGCATGGAACTTGAGAATTTGTTGAACCAGATATCACAGAATGAGGCGGGAGGACAGAGTTGAAATATATACGAGACCGGCCACGCCGGCGCGCAGAGGGTCAGGAGGACGGTGTAGAGTCGAACATAACGAATCAAGCGGATACCATATCACGCTCTGGTGTCTCGCTAGCGAGGTATGGTCAATGTCAAATCGCGGCGCAAACAGTTCCACTAGGCTGACAGAATGGCTCAAAGTGGCACAGACGCGGAGGAGGGTCAAATATTCGTGGAGAATGGCAGGAATGCTAGGGGAGCTCCGCCTAGATATACTCGTTCAGCTGCTGACGACAACTAGCCACTTGGTACGGAGCTGGCAGCTCTGGGCGCTAGGGTGCAATTTCGCCTGATTGGTATATCCTCGTGGGAACAGCACTGATGCATCAATGGCGCTAATCTTTTGATTCCCGAGATCCAAAGGTACATCCGCGCCGACAACATCATCGCCTGTAACTATGAAGCCATGTATTCGAGCCCAGCCTCTCGAGCTGAATGGAGTGTACGTACATTCGGGCAGGATAGAGTAATAGTCAAGCCATATGTACCGGGGGGAAAAATAGTGGTGTCGCCTCTTCAGGGAGTACGAGAATTTTCCCGGCATCCCCAAGACCTCTGCGGCAGAAGTAGACTCCATGCGCGTTAAGCTCCGATATATTTTCACGAATCTTGTATGGGTGTGGCGGCGTTATTAGCTCTCCATCACACATGTATGTGACAGAGATCTCCACGGCCGTTTGCGTTTCCGTGGTCATAACTGGCGATATTCGACCGTATATCAAAACGTCAATGTCGGGATTCAACCTATGCTTGATCGCCACAGTAGATTGATCTCCTTTCTCTCTTCGAAGGCATAACGTGAGTGTGTTCAGTTCGCACTGCAAGACGGGACTGCGAGCCCGAAGTAGGACGAAGGTTGGGTGCTGGAGTCTCTCGACAGCATCCTCAGCAACCTTATATACGCAATCCTTAAGAGCAGCGACTTCCTCAGCCGGAATAGGTAGTTCCGGTAGTATCACGTCGGTCTGCAAGAAGCAAATCACATCGACCAGTTTGAAGTCTTTTCCCTTGTCGCGATGGAGCTTAAGCCTCTCAGCCGAGGTATGCCAAGCGGCCTCAACTTCCGGGTGACGCGTAGAGATGGTGAGAGTATCGTCCACTGTCAATTTGAATTCGTAAAGCGACTCCATCGAGCTTTCTCGTTGAAGGAGAGGTCCGCCAACCCGATAGAGACTGGCGATGACATTGTCAGGTTGCCATTTCGCCCAAGAATGAATTTCCGGAAAGTAGAAGTCCGGATAGTCGACTTGAGTAAACTCGTCGTCCATGTCCATGCAGGCTTGGACAGTCGTTTGACCGCTCGGAGGCTGACCAGGGAGGGCACCGTTTCTGGCCCTCTGTGGCTCGGCGATCCCTCGAAGCTCGAATACCGTTGCGGTCAACGCGGCACGTTCCAAGTTTGAGTGCGTGAATGCATCGGGGGATTGTAGGAGCTCTTCATATATCCAATCAAGCCCCATCGGACTAACACCCGTAGTGAACGGTTCCGTAAGTGTCGCATCGGTGGAGTGGAAGGTCCCCGATACGGCATTATCATTGGACCGCGTGAACGTGTAAGAAGATGCGCCCGCGGGAGTCAAACTGGACAAAACTGCTATAATGCTTCCTGGAGCTGAACATGAACCACATTGGAGAGTCCAGTCATCGTTGAGGCGGCGTACGTTGAAAGTATCGGCTTCCCCCAAATGGGAATTCTCGAGGGAGACTGGTTCACTTGTCGTACTGGACATTCTGGCCATGTCACAAAGAGTCGGAAAATTAGCGAACGAAATTGGAAGGGTGGGATCAGGATTGAGACAAAGAAAGAAGAACGCTGAGACAGATTTTGGAGGAGGGAGGTCGAGTGCTTTTCTATCTCAAAGAATAGGTCTTGGACGGCGACTTCGGGGCGAATCCACCGTTATGGCCCATGGTCCGCGCAAACATGCCCCAGAGTTCCTTGCCATCTTCATCGGCCGTGTAGTAATGGTAGCTTGCCCATGAAATCAAGCATCTTCCCTCGTATTAGCAGATTGCGAATGCTGGTTCGCGGTTTGACGTACAGTGCAACAACCAAAACACCGCCAGCACCAATAAAGTATGATGAATACATTCCTCTTGCTGCGCGTTCTCCGAGGTTGGGGTCCAGAATTTCGAGAGACTTTCCGATCAGGTTCTGATTGAATGGATAGATGGATGGGTGGGTGGATGAGTCCAGTAGCGGCAGAGGTAGGAAATCCAGCTGGGGTTTAAGTCTTTTGCTCAATTTCTATGGCTGGCTTTGACCTCTTCCGCATCAACCGTATCTCCCAAAACCAGGCGCCTTCGCGAATGCAGGCTTGAAATGTCTGCCTGAAACAGCGTACCTAGTCTCGCCGTGCTGCATGCACCGGGATGTCCTAGGAGCAGGGTGAGGCTCTCCTTACCGAGCATCACGCATACTCGCTGCGACATGACTCACTCCATCCTCATTCAGCGAGAACACATGTCGTCCCAGGCCGGACCACGGTGAAAGTGTACCACGGTGTACTGATCGTAGATCGTCCCGGCTACAACTAGACTGCAAAGTTAGATCGCAGGAAGACACAAGGTGCAGAATCGAGGCCGTACGAGAGCCACGATAGTGTTCGGGGCCCAAGTCTGTCGGAGCCATCATCGGTGATCGTCTCGCCCCCGGAGGCCGGGGAGGACTGTGATAGTGATAGCGATGTCGACAAGGGTCTCTTTTGCGTCGTCGCAACCGGAGGTGGGCTCGCTCTTCACTTGGCGGCTAAAGTCCCGATGGCGAGGTGAAGACGGGGGCAGTGTCAAGTTGTCCCGTGGCCGGAAGGCGGTCTGCATGGAAGGGGAGACGCTGCCCCCTGGTTTGGAAAAGGGATCCAAGGGCCGTGAGAGCTCATCCAAGATCGAATCAGAGAGCAAAAGGCCACAAAACCGGTGAGAGAATGCATACAAACAAGGCGTAAAAGATTGCATGATATGCCAGTAAGTCAATAGATCGTGTTAGAAGTGCCTGCAGAGCCAACGCCACATATGCGGAAACCTCCTTAGGCCTATGCCCCAAGGCAGATTTTCAACTCATTCTCTTCTTCTGACACGGTCTGGAGGACGGGATGAAACTATGCACGTAGAACCAGGTACATTGTCAGAACTTCACCTCGAGGTCTCTACCTTTCTCTCAGAAGAAGTGCTGTGAGGTAGGGACACTGGGTGCTTTTCTACTCGCGGAAAATCTCGAGGCCTAGTCGCCCCTTCCTCCTCTTCTTCCCACCCGCTGTAGGTATGTTTGAGACCGGACCACAATCAATAGGTGACAGACGAGTCGGTCCCTTGGCTCATGCGCGCCACACAACAACAAAGGTCCCGACCAGACTCAGGAAAACGTACAAGACCGGGAGGGAGAATATATCCCACAATTCCTGCAAAAACGCATGATAAGGTTCCCTTTCTTGAGGACTGCCCCAAAATAGGACTATTTCAGGCACAAAAAGCAACCTTGGCCTTCACGTTAGTAGAATGCGAATCTCGCACGTAGACACTCACAGTGAAAGCACTGCTAACACGATCGCAAGACAACAGAAAGCTAGGGATATATAGAGGAGGACGTCCCCTTTGGAGATAGTATTGTTGGATCGCCGCATCAGTGTTATGTTTCTCGTGATCGAATCCGAGTCTGATACGAAATTTAAGTGATAGATTAAGTAGGCCCAATGGAGGTCCGGCCGGAATGGTTGAAAGAGAGAACCTTGATAAAAGGTAAAGGGGATTCACGTCTGAGTGTCCGATGATCATGCGCTTCCACGGGGATGATATAGTTTGCCTAGAAAGCCGACGAGCCCACTCCGTACGGGCGGGATCAGTCCTACCGGAGCTAAAGGTCGTCGACTCTCAAGGTCCGACGTGCAAATCCGACCGGGGACCAGAGTTCTGAAAACGGGACGAGCAATGGCGAATGAGTCACCAGCAGGGCCCCTAATCAATCACCATCGACGGCCGGGGCGCGGGTGTCGCCAGCGACGAGACCTGGATATCACCTACCCCGAACGAGTGTCGTGGGAACTGGGCGCTTTGGAAGTCGTGCAAGCAAGTCCTTCCGTAGCACCCACCCCGCTCAGCAGAGCCCAAATCCTTCGATCGTGACGTTTCAAGAGGTGACCGTAGTATACTTTTGCAATGGCCCGGGACTCCTACATAATCCCGAATACCCGTTCCACAAAACGAAGGGCGTAGAGCTTCTGGGCCTTCTCAAGCCCCCAGTACTCTACATCCTCCTGGAGAGGTCCAAGTGGGTCGTATTCTGACTCTAGAGTAAAGTGATTGCGTATCGAAGAGAGCTTGAGCGGCAGAGTCGGGAGGTAAGTGATCCGGACGAGGATTTCCCATGACCTACCGCTCAATGGTGCGGTGCTAGGCACCTGAATGAGGTTTCCGGCAATCGCATCGAGAGAGCGGTCCGCTGCATTGTGTTTCCGAATAGACAGACGTACGAGGGTGTACGAAGTCTCAATGACCTCTATAGTCGCCCGCCTGCACCAGTTGGTCGGGTTTCACGTGTAGAAGAATGGTCATACTCAAACAAGGATGGAGGGGGCCACAAATGTCCTTCACTGGAGCGCACCTCCCCCGAAGGAATCACTCCATTCCGCTCGAAAAGTTGAATCGTGACTTTCACATGCAGAGAGAAATCGTCGTCCCCTGGTCCAGCTGTCCTGGGACAAGGGAGTGGGATGCATTGTCTCCATAGAACAGCAAATATTGAAAGCAGACAACGCAGTGGGAAGTGCCGAAACCGGTGAGTATGGAAACGGGGCAATGAAAGATGACGGCCGTGAAGGCCTGCATGCTTATATCTCCCTGAAGTGTGAATTAGGAGACGTAAAGGACCGCTATATCTAGGCTGGACGCGAGGGTACTAAATCAACCTAAGATAGTAATAGAATGGTGTGCTGATGAGAAGCGAACTGGCTGCAGATTGACTCCGCTTTGACTGCCGCACTGGCGGAAGGCCCCGGAAATTTCGTGTCGGGTTTAGGGACTTCGACGCTCCGACGGGGCCTAGTGAGGCGTGGCTGACCTTTTGGTGGTCCAGTTAGGAAAAACATTGTGATATGCACGAATATCACAATGTTTTTCCTAATTGGACCGCCCACATTTAGACCTGCGACGTCTCCACCCTCAGTTTCAACCTTCCTTCCCTCTACCTTTCGATGATGGATCTGGGAAATGCATGTGACCGGATAAAGCACGTTACTCAGGAGGAATTGGTCAACAACCTCAGCTTATTGATTGAAACCTGGGGGGTCTTGACCCGGCATCTGCGCAGCGCCCTCGCAGTGCGGCCTGGACAACGAGAAGAGGCGGGACACGACGACCTCCCACTGCCACGAGCGCCCCCCCAGCACGATAACAACGGCAGTGGAAGAATAACGTCGCCATCTTCTCATGTTGCTGCCGCCTGCGTATGCAATACGCTACCATATTCAACACTGAGCAACCTGAGATCTTCCATTGTCCGTATTACACCAGAGAAGTCCATCTCGACGACGACGACCAAGACCAGCTCGAAGGTCAGCAACTGCCGTCCCCGTTCTCGATTTGAGAGAGCATTCCGGAATATCCAGGATAACGCCCGGAATCGCCAAAATGTGCTTAAAGAGATCAATGTAAACAACCTCCTTTCTCGACGTGTTGCAGAATATCCACCAGCTCGCGCCGCCAGCGACGCGACACGAAGAAAGCGACATGACCCTGACCGAATTGCGGCCTTCCTAGAGAGCTTCTTGGCTGCAATACATATCACCGAGAAATACCACATATTTCAGAAAGAAGAAATAGAGCGTCAGGGGAAGAAGAATCGAGGAAGGCTTAGGAATGTGTATGAGGAATTTGCCGATTCTCTGGATATCACTCCGTCGAAAATCCCGCCTATTTTAAAACTTGGAGAAGTCTTGTCGAAGGTGTTGTCTTACGGCCACTATGTGCTTCTCCTCTTATTTGATCAGCTTTCGACGGTACGTGACTTGTCCGCTGGGGACCTAGACGAGCTCAGCCAGTCCCTGGGTGGGGAGCTACCCGCGGTGGGAAACGCAGAAATCCTGAACGCTGCTGTCAAAAATGCATATCAGAGATACCAAAAGGTCGCCAACGAATGCTGGACTAAAGAAAAACGTGCTTCCGCGAGAGAGGCGATTGAAAAAATTATGGAAGTAGATGAAGCTTCGAACTTGGTGGATGAAGACGACAATCGACACCTCTTGGACGAATCTATTTCCAGCGGGCAAATCTCCGGAACAGCATCGCCAGACCATTCTCCCGGTGAGGGTGAAGAGTTTTCCACCCCAGCCACGGCTATTTCTGATCGTCGAAGGTCTTTGACCCCGTGTCAGTCCTCACCACAACCTTCGGAGCCTGGCCGGGTTGATTTTGTCGGCCAACTTAACCAGGATTGGACCTCCAGGTGCAATTCCGATCCAGCGCTGAAGACGCAGATCGCAGAGGCTCATCGATCACCCCGAAGCTTGCAAGAGGATGATTTTACCGGCACATCAACGGCCGTAGTAGATAACTCGCCCCAACCAGACTCGTCGGATCAACTCCTGCATCAATCAGAACACAATCCAGCATACCTATTTGCGCCGGATACTATCGGGTCCGGTGTGCCACAGTCACGCAAACGGCCTCACTTAGATCAACCGATCGATGCGACGACCTCGCGAGGGCCATCCCCCAAGCGTTGTCTTACGCGCCAAGTGTACAACGGCATGACTGACGATCGAAGCATTAGATCTATGTTCAATGATAACAATGTAGACAACTCTATCAGTAACGAACCTGGTGCCAGCAACAACATTCTGCATACGACGACGTACACCAGCTTTGAAAATCCTGGTCCGTTCAGCGAACATTCTCCATCGGCACAACTAGCTGTACAAGGATACCACGGAGAACAGCTTCATGATCACTCCACAGAATCTTCAGCAAGCGGACCGGAAGATACCTTACTGGGGACTATAGGTGGGGGAAGAAATGAAAGCCCGCCTAATTGGGATTCTATGTTCGAGGGTGCAGAATCGTTATGTTTTGAAGGGGGGTCTTGGAATCTTCAGACGCCTGATTGGGTTCGTATGTTTGAACAGGCAGAACAGGTGAACTTCGGGGAGGATTGCATTGAACATATCTCTGGATAGGCTTAGTTGGACAAAGTGGCATCCCCATTCACACGTCTGTCAATTCCGCGACGATTCCACCAACACCCCCAGACTTCAGGACAATACCCTCGTGTTCGTGAACAACGAGAATGTCACCAACCCGTATCTCAAGGGGGTGGTGCTTGTGAGTCGAATCCATGATGACACCATAGCACTGCTCCTCTAGCTTTTGGAGGGGAATTGTGGTCAGTGGTTTCTGTTTTATCGGTGTTGATTTGGCGGTTTGTTTCGAAGCATTCTGCTCATGATTTTCGGAAAGAGGTTCTTCAATTGAAGCATTCTGCTCATGATTTTCGGAGAGAGGTTCTTCAATTGAAGCATTCTGCTCATGATTTTCGGAGAGAGGTTCTTCAATTTCGGTGTGGTTGGCAGTCGCATGGTCTGGTAGGAGTGGGGTGGGCTCTTTCGTGAAATGCTCAGAATATTTGGGGTTTCGTGTTTTTACCATTACAATCACTTGATTTTTTCGAGCAACAAAACCCTTCGAAAACCATGCCCTTTTGGGATTGTTTTTCATAGTGAAGCGTTGCCCTTCGCGGCTGTAATCGTCTACAATTCCAGGGAGCTTATCTAGGTCAGCGGCCGAAGAACAGATGCATATCCAACGCACAAATTTTTGATTGAGCTGCCGCAGCACTTCCATAGACTCGGGCCCGACGTTGTTCAACCCCGGCGAAGTCGGTAAACTCCATTGGTGGAGTAACCGCCCTTCCGTATTGATTTCCTGAACCATGTCTTCAGCCCGCAGAAGGACCTTCTCGGCCGCACGCCGAAAATCATCGTCAGTCGCGATGATTCGCATATTTCAAGTGGTCGAGAATGTTGGATGAGAAGCGCTCGATGAAAAGTAGGTTCGGAAAGGGTCCTGAATGATTTTTATATCTGATGGTGGTGATTGCCTACTCGCTCTTGAATCGGAACTTATGTGAGCAGTTACCACGAGACATGAACAATGGCGTACTTGTAAATCTTCAAACTAACCTTAGCTGCTAAACGGGGATTGTAATAGGCCCCGCCCGTTGTGATTATAGCGGCACCACGAATGAGGCCAAGACTAACTACATACCGTAGAAACTACCTGCTGCTATAGAAATGTGCAGAACATGACTAAGGCCGGGCTCCTTTCCAGAAGCATTTGCCTTAGGGGGCTCTCATCGTATAGCTGTCTGAGAGAAATCCATAGCACTCGCCTCCAAGGAAAGATCAACTCATATACCCTTATTTTTGTTCTTGCCACCCAATCCTTTGTCGAGCCTCTTGTGTAATTGGGTCTGGGAAATGTACGTTTTCCGCATCCTGCATGATCTATTATTGTTATCTAACTTAGGGTCGGACACAAAATTGAAAAAATAACACGGCTATAAGGTTCATACCTGACGATGACTATCTCCATCGACATTAGAGGCTTGGGAATTCCCGTCTTTGTTGTCATCTTTTGTGTTGATGCCGTTTGTCGTCCTTTCGACTTTTTTAGGGGTTGTGTTTTGAGGATTGGAGTTGCTGCTGGACATGTTGAAGAGAAAGTCGCAAGAGTTCACTGGCGGTAAGGGTTACAAAGGAATTTTTGAGATATGTCGAGACTAATCTGTGACACCAGTGGTTGAGAAGTGGCAAATCTGACAAGAGACAGATGCTGATATTTTTTGATCCTCAACGTGAAAACAAAAGAATCTAGACGCTCTTCAGGACGTGTGAGTCGATGCTTTAATACTTTTCAATGGTCCGAAGGGGCTCGACATCAAAGCCCGATGGCTACAGGTATTAATGTGTCCCGCTCTTCTTTTCAGCCCCTGCCAGCAGTTGGTATGATGCGTGTTCATGGCATGCATGCACGGCTCCTTACACTAGTTTGTCAAAACGGATACACTGGTCGGCCATGGCGGTGGGCCAACAGAACGCGATGAGCATTGGCCACGACCAACGAAGTCTGAAAATGAGATGCACCTCATCTTGAATTGGCTCACACGGTGTTAGAAGACGTACCCTGCTGAACTCGCCGAGCAGCTTCAGAGGAGCTGGATGGGGCAGTTCCCCGATAGCCCCCTTCATCCACGTCGCGACAAAGTACGTTGCCTCTCCCAGGCCGACCTCCGACTGGATGGATTGAAACATTACAACTGAACTTATCAATGGACCTGGATACCTTTCCGCTATCCAAGTTCCGAGAAGTACATTGCATACCCCTGTGATCATTCTCCCGCTTGAGAGGAGTCGGACGGCTTAGTCGACTAGACGCTGGTTGCGCCTCTCGACCTTGCAGTCCGTACATAATGTGTCCTAATGGTTCACGAGCTGGGCCCTACCTTCCTTTAGTGTATTTCAGGTCAGTAAATTGCGTTGACGGCGAATAGCCTACGTGATCGTGAGGTAACCCGCGTTACAGCATCGTTGCATTTCGACAAGCCACCGGGCCTGACTTGGGATTCCGATGGCAATTTCGTGGTGTTGCCGAAATTAGGCCTTTTTCCTGCGAAGCGCATTTTGGCCTAATTTCGACCCTAGTAAAGACATGTAGTGAAAATGGTCGATTTTGGACAAAGGGCCCCTTCGGAACCTGTCTGGCGCTGAACCGAGGTCACATGGTAAGTGACGTCCTAGGCGGAAGCTCATAAAGGCAAAAGTTTTGGAATGCCCGGAAATGGCCTAGGGCCGTCGGGCATCATTAGAGAAACACCTGACCATCCTATCTGCCCTGCCTAAACAATTTCATCATTCGCGCCCATCTCTTACTGCAGCCTTACACTGCTTGACAGAAAAATCGAATTATTGCTTGTTCTTCCCATAATTGCATTGATCGATACGCTTCAATCTGGTATCTCGTCTCTAGTAAAACATTACCACCGGCCCACTATGCGCATTGACATCTGCAAAGTGTGAAGAGGTCTGCAGGTTCAGATATTGAGTGATGGAACGGCCGATTCTTTTGTCAAAAGATTCAACAGATGCACAACTCGTGGAAGCAGTACCTGATGGCGTGTGTCTTACCTCTAATCTCTTTTACGCTCTCGATGGAAACTAATTGTTGGCAGGTATCCATCGAATGGTCTAACGCGCAACCTAACATCCGGACCTGGCCGCCCGAAAGAACCATGATGGTAGCAGTCGATATAAAACAAGGAAGAACAGGGGCATTCAATATATACGAAACACCCCGCGACAAATGGGTTGGGGGGATTGGTGAAAAGGACAAGGCGAGCATTGTCATGGTGAGATGGAAGAGTAATTGGTGGTTTTACTACATTGGATCTGTTCGGATTGGATATATAAAGGGCGAAGAACAAGCATGACAGCGTAAATTGGCTGTGGCGGCATTCACATTTGCTGAGGTCTCTGAGTTGCATAAATGCCGCCGAGCTCCCTCGAAATTTGAACAGTGACAAAAGGGAAATTGTTCACATCGTATGGATCTGTCAACCATGGCCCCCCACGGACATTGTCGGAGACACCCACAAGCTGGAGATCTGGGATCGAGAGATTGTAAACTCTACCATGAAGGTGTTCTGCGAAACATTAGGATGATGCATTGCTAGTTTGACGGCTTTTCCCCACCTGAACCAACTTGTACCGGCCGTGTTCCCATGCTAGCACTATCCAAGGGCAATGGGAGTTCCAACTCTGTTTGCTTATGAATTGCTGCTCGAGCATGTATCGCAGATCTTCTTACCTGTAGAGGATTGAGAGAGTTGATATGTCGCAGCGTGAAAAGCTAGACCACCACTCAGTAACGCTCGGAACAACGAATGAATCTTTCTCACCTTGGATGAAATCGCAGTATTCTTGACATGAATCAAGCGGTTCCTCAGACGCGAAAGCACGTAGACTATTGTGGTCTGAATCTGAGGCTTGAACTCTCTGTGAACTCATTTTGTCCACGAGGTAGTCGAACGTAGCATCAGACATCTGGCTTACTTCCCACATAGAAGCGGGATATGCTTTCGCCCACCACAAGACAACCTGAGGTGGCATATTGCGGACTGTCTTGCAACGTTCCGTGAGACGGAGCTTCCTCGCTTTGGCTTGGTCGGAGTCGAAACCGGACCTCTCGGGGCCTTTGAAGATCAAAATGAGACGTTTTCTCAGTGCACTTGGGGTTACTGGATTGTTCTCAAGAGATAACCAAGCCTGCTCGTAGAGCTTTTCTTCATTCTCCGTAGGTTGGTAGCTTGGGATTGTTTGGAATAGGTAGTGGGCAGCTCGGACAAGTTCTATCGCCTGGCGTTGGTATGCTTTTGTTTGACCTGTTGTAAAGCGTCTGTCGGAGGCTTGGAATCCAGCTCCTATAGCCTCTATGGTTTTGGTAATGGCAACGAGCTTATTCGAGTCCCTAACCATATTTCTCAGCACCATGAACAACAGGGAAATCGAAGAATGAAACACTATCAGAGCGAAGCACCTTTCACCGGAAGTAGGCCTTGTCTAGCAATGCGGCCAATCTGCCGAAGTTTGGTTTGAACCTGATGACGTGATCGCGTATTATTGGCTGAAAAGCTCGTCACCCCAAGTCAATCAGTGAGTCGGACGGGGTGGCCCGGGGCTCGCGATCACTTGATGCTACCTTGTCTAGTGGACGCATAGATGATCCAGTTGTACGCTAATTGGGAGGCCCATTCAGGTCTTCGTGCGCCACAGAGCAACAACCAGTATTATTGCACATTCTTTTCATTCCAAAGCACAATGGGAGGCTAAATCGGATGTGTTGGTAACCGACTCTAATGATTTTGTATGCTGTTCCATTTCCACTTCGCAAGTGAGCAGATTGACAGGCGAAGGCACGGAAGGTATGCCGAGGTGATGCTGCCACACGCCGTCGTCTTTTGCTTCACCCGCCCCCAAGTTCAATTCACTTTATCTTTGATAGCTTATGCCTTAGCTGTGACATCCTTCCGCGAAATCACCAGCGCTTGCGCCCATGCACCTACCTAGAGGGCGGCCAATCCAGGACTGCATTGATTCAATCCAGGGCAGTGCAGATCCGGCGGAAGCATGAACTCATTATGTTAGCGTATCACGCTTCGCCACGTTTCTTCGAACATGCGGACACCCGAATTCGCCACGCGAAATCCATGCTAGTCAAGATTGTTGATTTCGACGCTGGTAAGGACTTTTCTTCCTCTGTCACAGGCAATTCGGGTGGCTGAAGCTTGTATAGCATTCAGGACCAGCAATCCTCCAAAATCAACCGTCACACCCCATTGCACTTAGAGCCCTGGAACTGATCTTATGCGTTGACATTTGGAGCCACTCCCAGAAATCTGGCTGAAGGAAGAATGGCCTTGGGCGACTAAGTATTTTGGCTTTAATCGAGAACGCTTAACCCAAATACAGGCAGGGGCCTTCGCAAGGATTTGAAGCCCCAAAAGGCCACGGTCGGGTTGGATGGAATTGACACGTGGACTCAGAAGGAAAACAGGTCGAGTACGAAGATGGACCATGGGTCGATCCCACGTTGGGAGTTGCGGTTCGAGGAGCCATTGCGACAAGTCGCTGCCTCATCTCTTTACGCTCCCACTCTACTTGTCGACTAAAGGGTCTGATTCCATCATGGACTTTCGTCTTCTGCTGTATAGAGACATTACTAGGTTATCAAGGGACTTTTCCACCTGCGCAAGATATTGTTCCTACCATTCATTTCACAATTATTTTCTCCTTGGAACGAACCTCGTAACGAATTCTTGAGACTGGACGGTAGCAGCTTTAGAAAGTCACGACGAGAGAAGTTCCTTCGGAGTCAGATGCTCGACAAACGCTGTGTATTCAGTCCACTCCCTAGCCACAGCTCAGCTCCCGAAAGACCAGAGGTAAGCTTATTTGAACGATGAAATACCAAAGGCTTACACTGCTACAAGATATGTGCGAAATTCGCGTGTTGGAATGGGCTGCTCCACCCCGTGGCTGCGGTCATCAGGCTTCGGCAGGATACAACCGGTGCAGAGATGCTCTAGCTCGACCTGGTCAAGCACCATGTGCACCTCCTGAGGGCATGAGAGAGCTTCCAAGGAGCTTAGATGCTCAAGACCGAAACCGTGCAGGCAAATGTCCACCTTGCCTAAAGATGACCCCCCCAAGCTCCGCTGGGTCTCAGGGATAAGGCTATGATATTTCAAGCTCGACTTTGCCTGTCATGGCGACAGATGAAATATTTCATAATCCTCAGCGCAATTCAGCCGAATGTCATTCATACAGTAGTATGATCGCCATCTGCATGAGATGCTTTTCAGAATATCAGTCGATGTAGTTAAAGAAATTGACTTCGATTGTTTGGGGCGAGCAACAGCGGACCCTACGCTGGGGTTTGCATCTAGATGTCTAGCGGGTCTCCTCGCTTCCTCGGATACCCTGCATGGGAAGTCCTTAGGTGGCTGGGCAAGGCTAAGTAAACCCCTTAAATATCGACTAGGCGCCTTTAATCACCCTCTGACGGATCCCAACACTCAAAAACGCCTGCACAGACATGGCTTCTCCAGCTATCGCCACTGCTCCTCTACGTATACTGATAATTGTCAAGTCTCCTCAGTCGGACGAGGAAATTATCAAAGCCTTCCTGCGGTATGCAAGGCGCTCAGACAGCGAGTACGAGAAGAATCAGCACTACATTCACCTCGACCCCGACAGAAGAGGATCAAAGTCTTGGTCACATCTTGTCCTCGACATGGATGTTCGAGAGACTCCAAGCTGCAATTCTGACGATTTACATCTTGAAATATACAAAGTAAAGTCGGAAAACCCTGAAGACGAGCTGTAAGACGATCAACCTTCGATACCATCAAAGTTTACTAAGTTTTGTAGGCGTTTCAAGCTTTTGGCCCCCCAACAGCATCAACAATACTATCGCCAATCAAAAGACTATCTAGCAAGCATTTTGCGATGGGGAGAATAAGGAACTCTTGGATGGAACTCTTGGATTTGCCTTGAGATCCTGTCGTCCTCGAAAAATGCACGGGTAGATCGGAAGCTTTGTGTCCGGACCGGAACAAGAAGAGAAGGTGGGCGTAAAATCAGGGGCCTCACGGACGAAGATTCAAAGATCTTCGAAACGAATCCTTCTAAGAAGGCCCGAACATTGAAAAATTGGAGAAACGGCCACTTAGCGATCACGGCTAATGGTGCAGGGTTTTTGAGCGCCACGTTTGCATCCTTTTCTACATGGCGGTAAGGTGCTGATTACAGGTAGCTGTTGCCTAGTTCTTAATCTTTGTCATTATGGCATCCCAACTACATGAGAAGGCAACCCGTCCTTGACAAGATGGTGAGACCAAGACTTGTTCGCAAATAAGGGGAAGTACATGTACCCCTGATGAGGACCATGCCCAATCCACCAGCTCTCCCACCTCCATGTCCAGGTCACACTTGGAGCGACGAGGTCCCCAGCAAAGAGGTGATTCCAATCGTCATTGGACGATGCGAATATTGTTCAGCCTAGCCCAGATCGGAAGAAGTTGGGAGGATGATAGAACGCATTTGGAAGGTCATATTACCATCAGCTGCTGGTTGCAGAATCCGAGCTCCTTCTCCGAGTTGGAACAATCGTCAGTCAGATTCAAGGTCGTCTGTGCTCCGTCATCTTTTTGTCCAGACTGACAGGAGCATAGGCAGCGAAAGAAACAATAAGATTTTCAAGTGCCGCTCTTGGTTAAACGTGGGCTTCTGCGTAGCGGAGTGGTCGTTGTTGAGGCATTTCTGCGCCTACTGTCCGTACTATCTCGCAGCTGACGCTTCTTGGTAGAAGTCCGCTGGCGGACCTCCGTCTTCTGTGATTTGGCAGCCCTGAAACGTTTTGTGACCGCCGCTGTAGGCGAATTCATTCGAAATGTTCCGGCCTCGAATGTTTTTGGTTGAAGTCTGTCGAAGAGGTGAGGGAAAAGCGATGAGATCGAGCCGTTGATGGAAAGTAGATTCCTGCTGCGCAGTAGAGCTTCCCATGTCCCTCGCTTTCCAGGAGGAAACGGGTGGTCGGAAAAGAGTTTATCTTCCCAGCAGCGAAATTCTTCCTCTGACTTTTGACGTTCACTATCCAGATCTTTCAGGGCTTGCAGAACCACCTTTTCAGCATCTTCGGCAGATTCTTCTTGCACTTTAGACCTTAGCCGCCAAAGCAGTTTAAAGTCTTCTTCTATAGGTATTTGTACTCTGTTATGCCTGGAAATGAGTTGTTTGACATTCAGCTTTGGGCACCGTTGTTGGAGCCAGTATTCGACTGCAGGTTCGGAATCGGGGTCAACGTTGTAGAGAGGATTATCGATATTGGGGAGGGTTAGATGGTCCAAAGAGGGCGGAGGGGTAGGCGATTGCATGTTCGAATTGATTGACTAAATGGAGCGACTGTTACCAGTATTTTGAGGGAAGGATGTCGAGGTGGACGAGAGAAATGAGATGCCGCACATGCGCCAACCATGCTTGGCCACCCCCGCGAAGCCTTGGCGCGTAATGGAACAATGTGGATCCCCCCTTCTAATTGGGCACGGTAGCTACCTACGAAGATATGCCGCAATGGCTCATCCGAAACGCCTAGCTAGGATCTATTCATGGGATTGAATGCATCAGTTAGTCGAAAATCCTCTTCGCCCTGGGAAGTGCCTTAAAGACACCAGACCCTCCGCAACTGCCGGAAAATGAAGCGATCATTCTTCTCCCTCTAGTGAGTGTCCTCATCAAAATGGATTTCAATTTCCACGCATGGGCGGATGACAAGAGAGTTCGGGCACTACTACTTCCACTTTCAGATGCTGCACGATACTCAATTGCGCTGCCGCAGAACAAGACGCACGTTGACCTGCTCGGTCCTCGACCACCATCTCCTCCTGCCGAGGGAAATGGCCGAGATTTCGATGACGAAGAACAGCCCCAAGTTCTGGTGGAACAGACTATGCGCACTGCCAAAAAGGCACTGGTCCTCCGCCAGAATAAAGTCTTGGACCGGTTTACGTTTGGGTCAGATCTGGGCAACTACTTCGTCCTGTCGGGCGACCCTGCATCAAAGGACCATGTCTGCTATATCAATATCTATCATTGCCAATTGTTTCCTGATCCAGACTTCTCAGAGATCTGGCTGCAGAACTTGTCTGCCTCTGAACAAACCGTACGCGAATGGCCGCTCTCGTCCCAGACTCGCTCTGTCGCACCCAAGGAGAGTACTCGACTCCGCGCTAGCACATGGATCCTCAACCTAGGAGAAGGCCTCCGGTTCCTCTTGCATGTCTTCCCTCTGAGCGATGTGTATCAGCCTAGTATGTACACCTTATCAGCACCTTCAGAGATCGTCACGGCTCCCCATGCCCCTTCCGGGCAAAAGACCGACCTTCGACGTCGAACAAAGCCTGCAAGGGCCGATGTTAAGAACAGCACCCGAAAAACGGACGATACCTCCCTCGAGGATATTTACAACTCCCCTAAGCAGACTGTAACGGTCCGTCAAGAATCAACAGCGAAGACGCAGGTCGTCGGGAAATTCATTGGGGAAACACGCTATTCACGGATTGAGGAAGGCAAAGCGTTAGGGAAGAGAGTTGCGATCAAGTTTTGTCGGCACCCTGACATTCCAGTCGCTGCAAACATGTGGCGGACTGAGGTTCACGCCCTCAAGGCTCTCTGCAAGCATGTAAGTACTCCAAGCAACCTCCGGGCCGACAAAGACAGACCTAACTGAATGCAGCAAAACGTCGTCCAGTTTCTCGAGTCAGACGCTGAAAAGTATTCGATAACGATGGAACTAGTCCCCGGGATGAGCCTCGAAAAATACGTTGACCGCCAGTTCACCTCCACACTCACCGAGATGCAATCCATGGATATCTGGCTCGGTGCCGCCCAGGGGTTGCAGTGGGTGCATCAGAAAGGCTTTTTCTACAATGATCTCAAGGCCGAGAACACAATGTACGATCCCAAGTCTCGTCGCACCGTTTTGATCGACTTTGGTCTTGCCTCTCCGGAAAACCTTACATATTTTATTGGTGGGGGTACTCCATGCTATGTCTGCCCAGAGTATATCCGTCGGGAGAGACACCAGGTCAGCGACATCTGGTCACTAGCTATAGTGATAATGTTTACTTTTAGATTGATTGAACTCCCACGAGAAACGTGGGACTTAACGCAGGTATTTGACGACACTTCACCTCACAGGGAGAAGATGGACGCCTGGCATGATGGAATTTGGGCCAAAGCCAATACGGCGCCTTCACGTCATCTTGAGCTTCTACGTCGCATGCTTCGCAAGTCGACAAGAGACCGGATACGGGCGCATGAGCTTGTGGCGTGTCTTCAAGAAGTACATCACTCTCATGAGCTTTTAGCATAGGTTGTGCATTGGGGAGTGATAGACGAGATTTTTGCTTCGCTATCTCTAAGACTAGAGGACCGAACTCAGCTGCTGTGATCAAAGCGAAAAACCTCATAAATATATACCATTCAGGGCTCTGCGGATCCCACCACACCAATTTCACGGGTTGCCGCTTTCTTGACGAACACATCTGTATAGGTACTTACTCAGACTCGTCCACTCAGTCCAAACTCGTGGTGAGAACCAATGGCTCTCGTGGAGGTCTGGGGTAGTAATGAAAACGGCACAGCCAGACCAGCTTCTGGCCACCCTTGTCGCTCTACCAGACAAGTATATGAGCCACTGTACATGGCACATTATGTACAAGGTGTCGGATCTGTCTGGCCAATCGACCAGGGCAAAGTCTTATCCTTTGAAAATCTCTGGTCATGTGCGGTCTTTCCGTTATGTCTTGCAGCACGGCAGAGTTGACGACAAGGACTGTAGAGCCCGACTGGGAAGATTTGCCGAAGACGTCACTTCTAAAAGACAGTTTATTTGGTTGATACGCGATGAAAGCCACCACGACTAAAGTGCACAGTTCCGCGAAGTGAAGCATGAGAACGGATCTGACCGTAGGAACTAGTGAGGGAACCAGTCCCATTCTTATAGACAGTCAGCACTGCCTAATGCGCTCTATACTTTCTCGTCTCACAGGACGCAGTTCCAAGACTTTCACAACTGCCGAGTTTCACCCATTGGCCGCCAAAGTTTCTGTCGGTGTTTCCAAGCCCGGTGAGGCAGGGAGAGGGAAGATCATCACCTCAACGAAGTAGAGTGGGTCATGCCACCGAAATATCGTGAGAGACAGGGGCTGCCGCTATCCCGAGTGCAGCATTGAAACCGGCGGCGGTGGTCTTTGAGAACGAGGCGACGATATAGGGCGGTGGCCCGTTCTTTCACGTTCTTTCAGGTTCAAAAATGTCGAGAATATGCCCGCGGACCGAGACAGCTGCTTCCAGTGGTTCCTGGACAAACCTGCACCCTCCTTCGAAATTGATGACCAACCTCAAAGCACACGCACGCCAGCCATTGGGACAAGGTACAACGGCGAGTCAACATCTGCGTCTGTTCGAGCAAAAATTGTGTCTCCCGAATACCACTTTTCCTTCATAGCTCCGTTCGCAAGACCCTCTTGGGGGAACTGCTGTAGCCGAGAATCTGTTTGCAACATGCTGACGTGTCCGTTTCACCGGATGGCGACTCTTTTCCTGGGGGTCGCTGAGGGCCGAAATGGAAGACTCAGGCGCTCTCAACATTGCATTTTCCAGGCAGAGCGCAGGCAGCAATGCACATTCTCGTGATTGGATGCACCAGGTGCGGCACTCAGCTTGCTGTGCCAAAGGATCCGCTGCGCTCTGCCACCTTCCATGCTTTAGCTCCACAAATTCGGGACGCGGAATCCCGGCCCCGATGGTGCAGTATGGAGAGCTGAGAGTAAACCACGCCGCCATAGAGGATGTCCGATCTTGCCACTGTCGGTGATGACGATCTCGCTGGGGTTTTGGCAAGACTGGAACGAACGCCATAGGGAGGATCACGTTCGCAAGGTGGCCCAAGGGAACTTGCTGAGGTCGACATCCGTATTCTCAGGGCCCTGGTCGAAGCGTGGATGACGGGCGGGGCTCGCTGATCCTGCACTCCGTGCAGCCAAGTCTGTCATGGAGAAATGAGGGCGCATGAGGGGGCCGAAACGGGCCGTCCTCGAAGTGTAGAGGGAGCCGCGCACCGAGGATTGGGGGCCTGATCGGGGGCCTTGAAGAGGCGAGGCAGATTTATGAAGGGAGCCGGAAAGGGAGACTTCTGGTAACGAGGCAGATTGTGAAGGAGCCGGGGGGAGAATCGAGCACGGGGGCTTAATGAGCTAGGCGGGAGGATTCACATAGTGTCGAAACGCACGACGGGCGCGTCACGGCGAACAGAGTTGAGAGACACAGGTTGGAAGGGACAGAGTTGGGATGGGGGATGGGGTTCTTATAGCCGTCAAAAGCGGCGGCGCGCCTGCAACACCTGCCCGGGTAGATTAGCGAGTGTCAATTGTCGGTGTCATAGTACGCCTTCGGGCTTGCTAAAGAGTACCTATTAGGTATCTGAGACGACGTCAATGATCAGGGTGTAAGGGCCGAAGTCGCACAGTTTAAAGAGATGTGAGTCAACGTCTAGATCTTATCAACTCGGAACCCCCTCCCTTCTTCTGGAAGGTCCTTATCTGTATTGTGCAACTTCGTGATCTCTTGGAAGCGTCCTAACAATGCAAAAGCTCCCTGCTTCTCGGTCTAATCATACATTTTGAGGTCCCGTCTCCCAAAACGCAAATACGTCACTGTCATTCGAGTGTGCAACGAGTGTTGAATTGAAACTCAAGGGAAACTGAGTTGATGGCTTAGACCTCAATATGAGTTCTGTCCCTCGAGAGTGGGGTAAGTCGTAGCTAGATTAACAAGGGATGTCGCATCTCAGTTCGCGGCTTAACGAGTCGAGTAATGTCGATGCGTTTTCGACTTGTTGTAAATATCTCTGCAAATTGCATTGAAAATAGTCTCTTGTTGATATCAACTTCCGTATTTCCTCTCGAAGTTGTCCAGTCTCTCGATCCTTTCGATCTACTTCCTCTTGAGTATTTGTGGCCTGGTCGTGCAATAATAGCAACTCTTTGGTGAGCCTTTGATTTTCAATTTGCAATTGCTCAGTTATGAGAGGAGGGCTGGGGTCTCGTTCTAACGACTGTGGGCGCTATGGATACATGGTCAGCCTCTACCGTGGAAAATGACAGACAGTGCTTGCCGCACTTCATCATCGCCTGTTGGCCATTCGTCAAGCTCTCCGGACCCATCTTGCATCACGGCTATCACGGACTTTTTGACTTCAATCTCCCGACATAGCGCCTTATAGACTCCGACCGACTGGTCGCTCATATTTTTATTGAATAGTTTTCGAAGACGTGGAGGATATTTCCAACGGTATGGATCGTTGATCTTCGGAACCAGGCGAACTTGTGACGGCTCTATGTGCAATCCTAGCTCTTGTTCTGATAATTGTTACAAGTCATTCAAATCGTAACTAGCATCCGATCTCACCGAGATATTTTGATAATATGCAACGGCATTTGCTCCTCCATCTTGTGCGTTCTTGGTTACTCTGACGAGTAGGCATTCCCGGAAAGAAAACAGCAGATCGAATCAATTCTTGGTCTTGCAAGAATCTTGTGCTCCTACATATTGAACTGGTCAAATTATGTCGTAATTTAGTATGTGAGGGACAAAGGTGGAAGTAGTGGGTATCAGAATTGATTCTCATCCGTCTTTCTCAACAGGGAGCCCAAAGCGGAGCCCAAGGGAACAAAGGGGACCTGAAAAGGCTGCTTGACTTGACCACAATGGGCTCATCTTCTGAGATTGTCGAGGTCAGCTGATCTTTTAGCCGGTCCGCGTTCCCCGAGTCCGCAGGCACACGACTCTTCGTCAACCAGTTTTCCGGGCGCTTTGAGAACCTGCTTCGACAGCATGACCAGCTGAGCAATTGACTACTGCTCCTCAAAGCCAAAATTCCACACTCGTTGTGCAAGGCTCATGCTGTGTCGGAACGTCTTTAGATAGATCTGCCTCGTGCGAAGTCTCTCCACCAATGTGCTGGAATACACTGGGAACCAAGGCGAATGACGCAAGTTTTGTGTGCTCTGCAAACTCCTTAATCCGGCGGTCTGCATGGCCATCTTTCACCCTTCGAAACCAATCAGCTAACCCTGGAACAATCTTGCGTGGAAACACCAGGCTCTGCCCACAGCATCCATCGTCCATCAGCACAATACCACTCTTCAGAGGGAAGACACTCAATCTGCCGGCTGCGAAGCACAGTGCAATGACTGCCGCACAGACAGTTACACAAAATAGTAACACTGCTGGTCGAGACCACCTCCTTTGCAGCACTGGGACCATAGGCCTCGGTAGGAACACCAAGGCCACCGTCGTCCCGGTGATAGCGGCAGACCAAGCAAAATAAGCTGGCGCTCTTTGTGACTGCCAGCCTAAGAATCCTTCCGCAAAGAAAAGTCGCAGGTACCAATCTGTTTGCTGAAACTTTCAGGATTGTAAAGCCTGCTTAGTCTGTAGGTACCATCTATCACCGGCCAGCACATCATCCTCAGCAATAAGAATATAAGGGGCACCGGTATCAGAGCATCTCTCCAGGATGAAGGTATAGTCTAAACGACCCTTCGTCCAGTAATCTTTACTGCCTTCTAGGGCAACAAGATCGTCGTACCCAGGGAGAGTTTCGTTGTACTTAAAGACAATATCCACAACCTGCTTCAGCCATGGTTGCTCGTACGCATAATGTACTCGTGGTACTGTATTAGCAATCAAAACTAGGAAGATGATTTCTTGCCGCTCGGTATCTGATAGACCATTAAAGAGCGATCCTATGGTGTAGTGGAGGTATTGCGAATTGTTCCGCATAATACTTGGGATTCCGACGCAGAGGACCGTAGGTAGGCTCGCTGACAGTGCGATGAAAAGGTCTGTGTAGTTCGAGTCTTGAACGAATTCCACCGCTTCTTCTTTTATTCTCCTCGAATATTTCGCTTGATACGCAGTGTTTGGATAGAAGAATAGTGATGTAGGATCGCGCTTGCAGGCTTGGGATAGATATACAGCGACGAGTCCGTACATCAAGAACAATGCGCTGCAGATGACAAGGTTCCGAACTGACTGCGCGCCTCTCAATCCTCAGTCACTCTCAACGATATCGGGGAAGGCGTGCTGCCGACAGCTCCTTATCGCGTTGCCGAGTACTTCGGGCCCTAACTTAGTTTTGCTTAGTCCGCCGATCGGGATTAGCTCTCTGCAGACATTGACAAAGACACGTCCCTACATCTCCCACACTTTCGGGGTGAGCCCTTGGGGTGAGCGCTTGGGCGCAGGGCTGGATTTGCTTAATTGGATTCCTGCTCTACAACGCACGATTCAACCGACACACCGCTGCACTGCCAGCCAAGGTTACGAGAAAATTTAGGCAGCAGCCAAAGAGCAGGGAATCTGCCAGGTTCCCTGACGCCCGTCTGAAACACATGCCTAGCTGAGAGGTAAGTATAGCCGATCCGTTAGGGGCCAGATTAGGCCTCCATTTGTTTACTCAGGGAGCGCTCCGTGAGGGCTCAGTGATGCTCAGCCTACACTCAGTCAAAGCTCAGGTTAAAGCAGCCTTCGCTCACCCTCTAGGCTTAAACCGTAAATGGCAATTAGGTTTTTCGTTCTCGAGTAATAGAGGTACCTAGGTAATATTTTATACCACCCCTTTTTGGGTCAAGGCCCGAATCCTGCCCTTCTGTCATATTCCAAGCCCCAAAGGCTACGCGAGAGGGGGGAAAAGCTTGTTGCTGCTGCTGCTGCTAAGAGGGAGCCGGGCTGTCAGCTTTCTCTTTGGGACTTGGGAACGGGGTGAAACTCTGAGTCGACGTCGAACGCTGCACTCAAGAAGAAAAAAAAGAAGAAGAAAAAGAAAAGACTACTTCTAATCCTATGGTGTCTATTTCACAGCCAATTGATTGAGAAGGGATACATAGATACAGGATTTGGAGTCCTGGTGTGTGTAAGTGACTCCCCCATACGACACAAAGCGCTATATGCATCCTCGTCCACCACCTGGGGGCCTTGCACCCTGACAAGGACGATGCCCGTCGAGAGGCCCTTCGAGGGGGACTTCCTGTTCGTAAACCACAATGCCAAGCAGATGAAGGCCTCGCCCAACCGGCGCAAGGTCTTCTCCCATGTCCAGAACCAATATCGCAACTGGAAGCGGCAAGAAGACATGCGGGCCTTGCGGGCTTCGATCAAGGCACCTTTACCTGACGCCCAGCCATCGGTCAAGCATGCCAGACACGTACAGAGTCCAGGAACGGGGGACTCGGACGCCGAGAGTTGCCAACGAGTCTCTACAAAGATCGCGATCCGCTCGCTGATCAACGACGAGGACTTGGGACGGCCAGATCAGGCGGTGTCGACGCACCAGGCGCACATAACACCCCTTCAACCACAGTCCCTCATGACGATCTTGGGCAAAGGAAACTCGGACCCCTTTGGTGCCTATGCGGTCGAGATCACCCCGACCGCCAACGACATGCTGAGTTTCCATCGCGACTTCGTCATCCCGGCCCTCTACCACACCACCAAGCACCGATGGATGACGAGCGCCAGCGCGTGGCGGGACTGGCGCGACTGCGTCGACGGGCTGGGCGATGGGGTCGATGGCCTCGGGGACGAAGGCGCCGGGTGCGGATTCATCGCCAGCTGCGCGGCCGAGGCGGCCGTCATCTCGCTGAACCCGGCCGTCCAGAGGCAGGCCGTTTACTACCGGGCCAAGAGCATGGCTGTGCTGCGGAAACGCCTCGCCACCGGCATCTTCCATCGCGGCCAGCTCTACTGGCACATCCATCTCCTGGTGGGCGCCGACACACTGAACCGCGACCTGGCCGGCACGGCCGCGCACCTCAACATGTTGCGGTGGTACTTCGAGCACGATGGAACCAAGCTGGACACGGATCTGCTGCTGTACGTCATCTACTACGATATCCACCGCTCGTCGATGTTCCTCTGCCACCCCGTATTCGACATGGACCAGTGGCTCCCCGAGAAGCTGCAGCCCGTTGTCGACGCCGCCTGGCCCTACCTCCCAGACCTGTCTGAAGTGAAGGACCGGTTTTTGGATCCGTCGATCGACGACCCCAGACTACGGACGCTGTTCATCGAGCGGAGAGAGAGCCTCGCGGTGTGGCTGTTCCAAACCGGCGCCGCCGAGGAGTCCGGCGCCCACACCACCGCGCTGATGGGCTGGTTGCTCGTCCGCGTGTACCTGCACCAGGGCCAGCTTGTGAACTTGTTCCTCGAGGCAAAGGCACGGTCCAAGGCCATCCCGCCTCCGCGCCCCGTGAACTCGGTCCTATGCCAGGGCTACATCTCGCTGGCGACACTGCTCTACGTGCGCGCCATCTCGTTCAACGCGACCGTGTGCGGCGTGCGGCTCTTCGACGCCACGGCCACCATCCTCGCCAACATGCAGGAGATGCTCCAGCTCAGCGAGAGACCCTCGTCCGCCAGCTCCGCGGACTACGAACGGTACGAGCACGCCCGCCTCTGGGCGCTGTACGTGGGCGCCGCCGCCGAGTTGTTCATGGACATGAAGCCCGAGGACGAGACCGGGTGGTTCACCGCGCAGTTTGCCGCCAAGGCCGTCAAGCTGGGTGTGGCCCGGTGGGATGAGGTGAGGAGCGTGCTGAGGGGCTTTCTGTACACGGATACAATGCATCCTTATGGGGAGGAGTGGTTTGCTAGGGTGTTGAGCACCGCGAGGAAGAAAACGGAAGCTGGATGAATCCTGGTGGGCAAGGCGCCTGGAGGTGTGCGTGGCCTGTCTTCTCATGAACTTTCTTTGAATGGTATGCATAGCTCTTACTGGTCTTTGGGAGGTTGTTTGAGCATCAAGCAAGCGAATCTGGGAGCATAAGTCATCTCCAGCGTCGACATCCTTATATACGCACTTGCTACAGACATGTATTTTCCTGGTAAGAGTTGCAGGAGGACTACCTCGAAAAGGTCTTGATCTCTCTCCATTCAGGTGTTCTTCTAGCCCAAGTCCCGACGAGCCTGTACTGGAGCTGTGAACGATGGATATTGAGTCCGCTTCTTCGAGGCTCCTCTCCTTTGTTGAGGGGGGGGGTCAGTTAGTAGTGGGGAAGGTCAGCCGCGACGCGGTTTTGCGATGTTGCGTCTTTTGCTCCGCGCAGACAAATGAGGCACGCCCCAGACAGTCACAATTGCGCTGTGTCTCTCATCTATTACCTGGTCAGGTTGACTACTACTTACAGGTACCTCTTCTTCCCGGATTTTGGAAATTGCGAGTTGGACTGGATTCGAAGTCGACGACGCTTCCGAGGCAGCATGACGTGAATGCGACCAGCTTCACACATCTTTTCGGTCACAGACGCACAGACGAACTCTCCACATTTACCTCTGCCTGTGCCTCTGCAGCCATTTGTCGTCTTGTTGCTCTCTGGTATACTTTTCAGTCTGCAGACAGCTCTGAGGGACCGCCACTGCGAGAGAGAGAGAGAGAGAGACACCCCTCCTCGAACCTCTACCTTCTCCTTCTCAACCTCCCTTTCACAATGTCGCGCTCGCCGACCCCCCAACCTGCGAAAACCGCAGTCGATCGCCAGTCCACCACGCCCTTCCTGTTGAACTTTTGCTACCGATCCTCCGCCTTCCACAGCCTGACCGACTTCCCCATCCCGACCCCGTCCAACCCGCACCCGCACCTACCTGCCCACCTGCAAATCTACACGTGGATGAGCTGCACCCTACGAGAACTCGCGCTGCTGTTGACGCAGGCCCTGCCGCAGATCTTGCCTGATCCGGCCGTCGGCACGCGGCTGAGCTTCAGACTGGTCTACCCCGACGTCCACGCCAGCCGGGGCGGCGGGGGGCGGCTAGAAAGCGAAGGACGAGGGAGATACCTGAGCAAAGAGATAGGGAGTGTCGTTGTCTCGGCGCCTGAATATTCCAATGGGGGTGGTGGCGGACGTGGTGGTGTCCAGCTCGAAGGAGACGACGCGGGCAAGACGCTGGAAGACGCGCGGTTTGTCATCGGGGACTTTATCGACTGTGCCGTGTTTCCTCCCCTGAGCGACGGCACCGTGGTGTCTCGAGGAAGTGTCAGTGGCAGAGGAGGGTCCAGAGAAAACGGGTATGGGAGGGTGCGAGGAGGCGGGTACGGTCTGAGCAGCAGGGGCAGCTTCAATGGCTACTCGTCAAGAGGTGACTTTGGCGGCTCGGGCAATATCCCAAGCGGTGAGTGGAGGCGAGGAGAAAGGCTTCCTGACTCTGGTGGCTACCGAGGTGGAAGAGGTGCGAGGAGAGGCTATTGAGGCCGAATTCGGGCTCGAGAGGAGTCTAAACAACGCACAATCTCCCGCAGCAAGCTTGCTCGGGTGCAGAGGGAACAAAATACCCCTTGAGGATGCACCTGGGATCGTGTCTTGGTAGCGAGAATCCCGGCTCCGCGACCGACACAAAGCATTCACACTCCCAAGAAAAGGGCGGACTGGTCGCAGGATGGGAGCATTTTCGAGTCATGTGCAGAGACCAAAATTTCCCGACGGTGCGTTACAGGCAAGGTACTTTTCTCAGGTTACTCGGTGTGTCTCACAGATAGCTAGGAAATGTTTCCTCTTGGGGAGATACAGCCATTTCAACGAGCCGTCCACAAAAAGCAACTGAGGCTCCGGATGCAAGTATCAGCCTTCCGAGACTGCGGTGAACAAGCTGGGTCTGTCGGCGAGAAGGTCTAGAACCACAAGGGCTGAGGGACGTGCCACTCGGAGGATGAGCGCGCAGATAAGCTACATGAAATAGCCTCGCCGGAGCTCTGAGAATGGAGCTCTCGCAATGTTCTGTATCTTTCACCGCCATCTTGGGCGCCAGCCTCACGTGGTCCCGTTGATACGCTGCTGTGCTGTTGACGAGAGAGAAAAGATTGGGATGGGTATGACGTAGACACCCACCAATAGTGAAGCTGTTGAACCAGAGGACATGCTGGCGCCCACCCAGGCACCGCCTAAAGCCCAAAGCCTCCCGCCCTGGAGCCACCAAGGGCGCCCGGCCCGCCAGAACCACCTGGGCGCCCCTTGGACCGCCCCCCCACCCGCCGTCACCCCCCATCCCTCCCGAGCTCTTGAATGGCTGTGGCGTCTTCCCCAGCTTCAATCACCCCCCACCAGTCACTGTCCGGCGCCAATCGCTGCCCACCGCTGCCCGATCTCCCATGGCCATTTCTGCCCATAAACAAAAACTTATCAGCGTGTCACATCCCACCCTGCACTCTGACGTTCCTCCCTTCCAGTCTCAGTCTCCGAACACCACCACCACCGTATCTCTTTGCTGCAGGATTTCTTCTTTCGTCCTCACTTATAGACTTTGCTCTTCATCTCTCTTCTTTTCGTTATTCTAGACTCAGAAGTAGCGGATCGTCAACCGTCAATATGGGCAAAGTAAGTTCACTCTCAACGTCCACTTCTTTTACCCCTCCGTCGCCCAACAGCTGTGATTGACCGCTTATTCCCTCGCCACTGTAACACAAAACAAAAGCCGGTGATGGAAACTGACAAGATACCTTCCTACAGGTCAAGTACGTTCTCCTTGACTGCGACAACACCCTCTGCTTGTCCGAGCGCCTGGCCTTTGAGGCTTGCACCGATCTCACCAATGAACTCCTCGAGATGTACGGCGTCAAAGAGCGCTACACGGTCGAAGGCCTGCTCGAAACCTTCGTCGGCCAGAACTTCCGTGGTATGATGGTCGGTCTCCAGAAGAAGCATGGCTTCGAGATGCCCCCGGAGCAGCTCGAGGAATACGTCAACAAGGAGCTCGGAGCCGTCACCGCCAAATTGTCCGCCAAGTGTCAACCGTGCCCCGGTGCCCCTGAGGAGATGGAGCGCTTGCACCAGGCCGGATACCCCATGGCTGTCGTTAGCACCTCTGCCAAACCCCGCGTTGTCGCCTCTCTCGAGAAGGTCAAGATCGACCACTATTTCCCCAACGCCCACGTCTACAGCGCCGCCACCTCGCTCAACCCCCCCTCCAGCAAGCCCGATCCCAAGATCTACCTCTACGCCTGCGAGCAGCTCGGTGTCAAGCCAGAGGAGTGCATCACGGTCGAAGACAGCAAGAGTGGTGCCACCGCCGCCATGCGTGCTAATATTCCCTGCATTGGCTACGTCGGCGTCTACAAGTTGGAGGATGGTGAGGAGAAGATGAAGCAGATGGCCCAGGTTCTCAAGGAACAGTGCAACTGTGTCGAGATCATGTACGAATGGACGGAATTCCCAAAGATCTTGGAGAAGATCGAGAACGGGAACTAAGTGAGATACTTGTTCTCTCGCCGATGCTGGATGAACAGTCATGACCATGACCGGGTGATGAGATGACGAAAACGGAGCCTCAAGACACTGTAAACGACTTTACAAAAAGGAAATGAGCCCAGTCGGAGCGGAGATAGGGTAACCAGAGCAGAGCGGCCTTTGCACCAAACGTTCTTTGCCAGATCCACCTGGTTGAGATAGGCTCCCAGGACCTCTGGCCTAGGCCCTAGACGCCCTCGTTTGGCTTGGAATAGAAAAATGAACTCTTTGATACAAAAGGCTACGAGCTGGTGGGGTTTATTTGTTTTCAGTCATCCGGACCCTCTCTACTAACCGTCCCACCATCTCCCTCATGACATGCTTCTCTCCCGAGTAATCCATATCGAACCAGTAGTTCACCGCTATGCACGGCGCCACCGTCTCGCTCCCATTGCTCTCGTCTCCCTCCCAGAAACCACATTCCTGGGTGACGTGGTGGAACCAGCCCGCGGGCAGATAGAGAATCTCGCCTTCCGAGACGGTGACGCTGAGAGGGCGGGCGTATTTGTAGTACGGGTATCTTTTTGAGGTGGCTGGCGGAGGCGAGAGCGGGTCGATGGGGATCCAGGGGATGCGGTTCGTGTCTTCGTCTCCGGGATCGGGCTCTGAGGTGGATGGTGACGATAGAAGTGGGATGGATGTGGGAGGAGTAGTATCTGAACCTCTCTCGTTGTAGTCGTTGTTCTCGGTGCAGTCCTGCCCCTTCTCGCCGTTGTTGTCCTCGTCGTCCATCACAATCCTAAACTCTCTCATCTCCTCCCCTTTCCCTTCCCCGTCATCCCCGTTCTGTCCCCCCTGATCCTCAAACGCCCACCGCCCCGTCCGGACCCTCTCGGCGTGCAAACACACCTCCTCCAGGGTACTGTACAGTACGAACCGCTTCCGCCCTTTCACCACCAGGTACAGGTTCTCGTACGGGTCGCGGTGCGTGCTGGTCACGGACCGCGCGTTGCCGATCCAGACGTTGACGGCCTCGGGCGCGCCGAGCACCCGCGTGCTGAAGGGCGGGGGCCCGCGCGGGAGGGAGCTCTGCAGGGCCGAGAGCGGCGGGGTGTGCAGGTTCGAGTTTTGGGATTGGAGGTAGTAGATTGGTGCTTTTGTTCCCGCGGATATGGTTGGCGATGTGGTTGTGAATGCGGATGTGGGTGTCGGCGTGGGCGTGGTTCGAGATGACTTCGCGTTGGTGAGGGAGGGGGAGAGGGATGAAGGCGAGCAAGGCGAGGAAGGCTGCGGAGGACATAGCTTGTCGATCAGCGTGGAAAGCGTCATGTATGTCGAGGCCGGCTGGAGGAAGACCTGCTCGGGTTCTGTTTCTGGTCCCTCCTCATCCTTTTCTTCCTCGCGCTCTCTCCCATCCTTCGTCGCCATTCCTCCTCTTCCCCTCGTCGTGTCGTGACCATCGACTTCGCCGTCTCTTTGCTTCCCTAACGCTTGGCCCTTGAAGCCATCCCGTCGAGGTCGATCCCTCCTCCGAGGAAGAGAGTACAGCGCATCCGCCCTCCCGTCCGGAGTCACCGCGACCTCGACCTCTTCCCACACCAGCTCGCAGAGGCTCTTCTTCGTCCACTGAAAGCACGGCGCGGAGAGGATCGACCGCTGCTCTTCCCGAAGGTGTCGACGTTTGGCGCGTTTCAACGACAAAAGTTCTGGCGGCTCATCGCTGTTGTCGCAGTGGCTTTCGTCCTCGGGTTCTCTGTCCCCCTTGGTGACATGGTCGTCTAGGACACTGCGGTCAAGACGGTACACACACGGTCGTCCGCGCGCCACCTGTTGGCTGAATTCGAGGTATGTTGGGTACGCAAAGGTCGGGACGGTGGTGTCTGGGTTGAACGAGTGGTAGTCTTCAATCAAAGCGAGGAGGGTCGCGAGGGCGAAGTCCTCCACAGTCTCACTGTTGTTTGAAGCCGTCATTATTTCAGCATTGAAGGATTGGCCCAACTTTCTGCTGAGAGAGGCACGTCCCGAAACTTTTACTGGCAGCGAGTGGTGAGCTTCGCCTTCATCTCATCGGCCCAAGATCCCAGCCGTCTGCACTCAAAAATCCCATCTCTCATATACATGCAGGCGGGCTGGATAATGTCAACCCTTCACAGTCTGGGAGCGCTCAACTTCTAACGCTGTCCTTTTGATTCCAATACCGACAGCAAGAAATTGTCAACTGAGGTTCAAGAATTTTGATTCCTGCCGAAGTCTCCCCGAATACGACATTGGTCTGTTCAACAGGCAGGCCACGCCTCTACGCAGAGTCAACTGAATTCAATGCTTAACCAGCTATTATCGGCTTTTGCTCCCAGGCTCAGAGTCCCGTCGGAACTCTTGTGCCCCACGGATTCCACAATGGGCCATTGTATTCAAATCCATCCCGTGGGGTCGGTTCAACAACGATGTGGAGAAAGAACCCGAATCAAAAGCCCGTAGAGCAGCAGGCTGAGGACAGACATAAGCTTGGGGTACACGCTCAACTTCGAAGGCCTGAGTGTCAGCTTTACGACCATCAGCTTCGACGTGCTCGCAAATCCTGACAGATGACAACTAATCGCATCTCAATACCTCCTCAACTTCGAGATCTCGAGCTGGCTGATGTCGTCTGACGGACAAAAAGGGCTGTGATAACGGAAGGGAATTGCGCGGAGAACCTATAAAGTCCCCCTTGCAACTCGACCAACAACCGCGATACTCCTATGAATGGTTTGATCTCACGCAAGCCATGGGCTCTCTACGTGTAGAGTCCTCCTCAACTTACCCAGTCGCCATCATAGGAGGCGGCCCGACTGGTCTATCGGCCTCAATCCTGCTCTCGCTGCTCAACATACCCCATGTCCTGTTTGAACGATATCCTTCGACATCCATTCATCCAAAGGCATGCGGGTACAACCATCGTACAGTCGAAATCTGGCGCCGCATGGGCATCGAAGAGGAGCTGATCAGGCAACGTGCCCCATTAGACAACGTCAGCAGGACAGCATGGTATACCAGCTTCGGCCCTGGTGGAAGGGAAATTGTCAGCCGCGACTCGTGGGGCGGAGGAGCTTACAAGGAAGAATATGCCACTGTTTCGCCCTGTCAGTATTCTACTATGCCACAGATCAGACTCGAACCGATATTGCAGAAACGGGCGCTGGAACTGAACCCGACGGGAATCCTTTACAACACCGAAGTTACAAAAGTTGAAGAGGTTGATGACCACGTCATCGTCACTTATCTACGTAAAGGCGGGGAGTCGGGGACCGTCAAAGCACAATACTGTATTGGCGCCGATGGTGGTCGCAGACTCACGGATGACTTGGGGGTTGGCTGGGAGGGCGAACGTGATATTGTCGATATGGTGTCTGCTCACATTCGGGCTCCCATATCCCTTGAACACCCGGACACTCGTAACTTCATCACCTGGTTCGTCAACCCAAAGTTGGGTGGCACAATTGGTTCAGGATACCTCTACCACTTGGGCCCATATCCCATGTCACCCGACACGGAGGAATGGCTCTTTGCATGCGGTCTCAACCCGGCAGATCCAAAACGTTTCGATGAGTCGGCGATGTTGAAGCGGATGCACAATACATTACAAATTCCCGATCTGAAAGTTGAACTACTGTCCGTCAACCATTGGTATGTCAACGCGTTATGCGCGACACGATATCGCAGCAAGAAATCCACAGGCCGGGTGTTCATGGCGGGAGACGCTGCACATCGGATCCCCCCCTGGGGAGCATTAGGCCTGAACACGGGCATCCAGGACGTTCATAACCTGGTATGGAAGCTAAATCTCGCCATCAAGGGGATTCCGTCATCTCTGGGCAAAAACAATGATTGCAATGCACTTCTCGATACTTATGACACAGAACGGCGTCCCGTGGGTCAACGCGTGCGAGACTGCGCATTGCATAACCTCCGTGCGTTTGGGCTGGTCATGGACAAAGCAATCGGTGTCTCGACTGAGAACAGCCAAACCGAAAACGTTGCCAACATGGATTCATTCCTCGATATATCGACCGAAAATTCAGACGGCGCTGCACGTCGAGACGCTGTCCAACGCGCACAAAAGATCCTCGACGATGAATTCCACGCTCTTGGGGCGGAGGTTGGTTGGTTCTATCCCGACCTCGATGTCAACGGCGAAGGCAAGGCGAGTAATCATGATGGACAACTCAAGGACAACGGCGAGCTGGATTTGCTGTATTATCACCCCTCAACGATTCCGGGACATCATTTACCGCACGCGTGGCTGGAGCAGGGAGACAAGAGGTTGTCGACCAGAGATTTGGTCAAGTATGATGGATTTGTCCTGATCACCTCGCATCCGGAGTTGTGGGGAAAGGCCGTGGTGGAAGAAGGAGGTGGACTGGTGACCTTGATTGAGATCTCAGACATGATTGAAGAAGCAGACGGTAGATTTTCCTGGAAGGATGTAGATGGAAAGTGGGCTTCCCAGCGCGGTGTTGGGAGTTCCGGCGCAGTCCTGGTTCGTCCTGACGGGATAGTGGTCTGGCGGGCACAAGCATTCGATGAGAGCAGCCACGGGAAGATTGGATGGTTGAGAGATGTGCTTCGGAGGGCATTAGTGCTTCGATAGGTCCTCAAGGTCCCAACGAGCCACCCACTCTGGCACCACATCAGCTGGGACTGATGCACAAGGCTGGATGCCTGACTTACCCCGCACGAGGCTGCCAGAGCTCTCAACCTCACTGACAATCGAGCTGTTGATATATCCTCGATAAAGCTGGCCGTATCCCCCCATTAACTCCGCTCAACGGACAAGAAACATGCAGCTCGTCAACTATGCAGCCTGGATCCCTGCTGAAAGGGCCGACCTGGTGGTCGCCACTGCGCCCTTCCCGGAGCTCTCGCCCGACGAGCTTGTCATCACGAACCGCGCCGTAGCTGTGAACCCGGTGGATTGGAAGATCCAGGCTTCGGGCGGCTTTGGTGTTCAGTACCCGGGCATTCTCGGGGAAGACATCGCGGGAGAAGTCCTGGAGGTGGGCAAGAATGTGAAGAGGTTCAAGAAGGGGGATCGCGTCATTGCCCACGCGCTGGGACTTGGGAACGGGAGTGCCTATGGCGGCTTTCAACTCTATCCTCGAGTCAAGGTCCAGACAGCCGCGAAGATCCCGGACGGCATGGAATTCAAGGCTGCGGTGGTGCTGCCGCTGAGTATCTCGACCGCTGCGGCCGGGCTGTATCTCAAGGGGATGCTGGGGCTGAAGTATCCTGAGGCCAAGAACAAACGGGCGGGTCGAATGTGGATGCCAGAAACGGGGAACAGATCTGAGGACGTGGACGAGACAATCAAGGAAGCGAGGACGAAGAAGAAGAAGGCCGTGCTGCTCCTCTGGGGTGGGTCGTCGTCCGTCGGCTCGTCGGTCATCCAGCTTGCTGTGGCTTCGGGCTACGACGTCGTCACCACGTCCTCGCCGGCAAACTACTCCTACTGCAAAGCCCTGGGCGCCTCGCTGGTGCTTGACTATCACAACCCCGACATCGTGCCCATACTCGTCTCGCTGCTCAAGGAGAACGGCGCGCCCGTCGCAGGAGCATATGACGCCATCGGAACCGACACGACCGTCCGGCAATGCGCAGCGGTCCTGCACGCTGTTGGCGGTGGGACGGTCGCAAGCGTGGTTTCTACGCCGGGGGATCTTCCGAAAGGCGTCAAGGCGGCCAGAATCTCAAGCACGAACGTCGTGAGTCAGGAAGGCGGCGTTGTTGCGACCAAAATATGGGCCGAGTACGTGCCTGCGGCCTTGAAGGACGGGTCGTTGGAGGCGGCCCCAGCGGAGCTCGTGGTGGGCAACGGGTTGTATTTTGTCCAAGGCGGCCTTGATAGGCAGAAGAGCGGGGTGAGTGCGCGGAAGGTGGTTATAACGCTGTGAGAGAATAACAGGCAATGCATGTGCCGCCCGGTGCCGACGCTATGGAGGAATGGATCTAACTACTATTGGCTAGCCATGGCGTGGTAATAATAGCCGAGAGCGGGGAAAGCGGGGCTGGTATTCAGTGCCCTCGTCACCATTGTCCAAAAGAGGTATAGCTGGGGACTTCCGACCCGCGAGGCTCAGGCTGAGAACTGCTGGACACCAACTTTTCCAAGACCGGATGGCGTTGTGCCTCGCAACAAGAAACACGGAAATCCGCAGGTGTTCAGGCGGAAGCGGGCGTCTGTCTCTGGCTGCACCAGCTGTGGTTGCTCACAGCCGAACAAGTCGAGGAGGATCTGATCCAGAACTGTCAGGATAAGGCTGAGAATTTCTAGCGGCCCTCTGCTCACGCCATGATCCACTCTGCAACCTCTTTTCTTTGTTTCAGCCTCAGCGTTGATTCGTGACTACCCCAACTCTCCTTCTCCCACTCACCGGAACCCAGCAGAAAGAAGTAGTACCCGATACGAGCCGCCAAGGAAGCCTGCAGCATAAAGGAAGTCCTGTGGCGACAGGGCGACTGGCGCCTGACTAGAATAGGACAGGCGTGCCTCGTGACAGCCAGCCCAGCCCAGATCCTCAGGTGTCAGAAGTTGGGACGTTCCGCCTGGTCTTTGCGTTACCGGCATCACTGAAGCGAGCCAACTTCGTGGCTCAGTTGCAAACTTCTTCCTTCCTTTGATCATTCGGGCCGGGCATCACATCTCAGTTGGAACATCATATACCCTGGGCACCTCCTCCTGAGGCTGGCGAGATCAGCATTGTCTTGTGCCTATGAGGCTGAACGTCCGCCGCCGACCGTGCAACGACCCCTCTCGACCCCGTGGATCATGCTAGCCCGCGTCTTCATCAGAATCTCACCTTCTGACGAGAATCATCGCCCGACTACTGCCAATCCATGCTCCCGCTGTGGGCTCCAGATCCGCCAGGGACTATCAACCCGGCGAAACTCGCCAAGAACGCTGGACGAGGACCTACAGCCGGCTCGGAGGTCCTGGACATCTCGTGCGCCCCTCTTTTCGCAGATGCTCAGAAACCTGCAGCATCATCAGCAGCAGCAGCAGCAGCAGCAAGCCAGGATGCTCTACCGATTTCTCCGTCGTCGTCGTCGTCGCCACCGCCGCCATCACCACCACCACCACCAATACCTCGTCCAACCGTCCCGCTCCCCCGCATCACCTCCGACTGGGAGAGCTATGATATTTTCCTGAGTGAGAGTCAGAGGCACCGGGAAAACCGGATCGAGTTCGAGACTGTGTATGCTTCCCACAACCGCCGATGTTCCACGAGGTCGAGACGCACTTCCCATTACGGCTACTTTCGGACCCAGACGCAGGACGGGGCGAGGATACATATCCCCCCGGATTTCGAGGCCGGTCTGGATGCGGCGGTGGTGATCGATCGCGCGAGGACGTCGATATACGACGCGTACCTTCTCCGAGCCGACATTATGAAGAACATCAACTTCTTCCGACGGCACCAAGTATGTTCAAATGTGCTAAGTCACAGCATCATTGAGTGAAGATTTTGCATGGACTAACAAATTTTCTTTGGTACTGAACAGATCGTATTCAATCCCGAGACGGCAACTTACGTCTTTGTCACCCGCGAAGGCCGCGTCGGGCTCGAGGGCCATGCTCGGACCGAAATCGAGTCCAGCAACCTCGACATCGTCACGGCCAAGTTTCGCAAGATCTTCCAGGACAAGACGTCGACGACGTGGAACCGACGATACGAATCCCTGTCACGGCGGCAAGGGCGGTTCGCGTTCATCGAGCTCGACTACCAAAAGACCGCGGCGCGCCCCAAGGAACTCCCGGAGTATACGGCGGTTGACACAAAGACCAACGAGGAAGTCAAGGATCTGATGGAGCACATCCTCTTCGGTGGCCCCGTGAGGAGTCGCAAGCACACCACGGGTGACGAGGGTGCCAGCACGTCCGGGTCGACGTGGCAGGCCTTCACGGCGCCGTACGAGCAGATCAGTTCGTGGGCCGTCTTCTCGGCGTTCAAGACGCTCGACCGGATCCGCCAGCACATCGAGTCCGGCAAGGCGATCAACTGGATGACCATCCTGAGGCTGTCGTCGCACTACCGCAGCCAGATGCCCTGCTGCTCGGGCGAGGACCGCCCCCCGGTGATCTCGAGCTACCACGCACTGTTCCTCGAGTCCAAGTTCCTGTACTGTCTGTGGCCACGGCGCGAGATCGCGACCATGGCGGCCGAGATGCACCGCCGGGGCGCGCAACAGCTGACGGCGCACCGGGCGCTGGCCCAGCCGCTGTACCAGGCGTACAGCTCGCTGCGGCACGGGTTCCGGCGGCTGACGGACGCGTCGACGCCCGAGTTCCGCCAACTCAGGAGCTACCTGGAGAACTCGTGCCACCGCATCCACTGCCTGACGGTGGAGCTGGAGGAGATCTACCGCGTCTTCGTGAAAGCGCGGCTCCCCAACCCGTACCGCGACTGGCTCGAGGCCAAGGAAGCGCAGCAGGACGGCGACCCGGCCGGCGACATGCGCCTGCTGCTGTGGCACGGCACGCCGCTCGACTCGCTGCTGGGCATCCTCGACCTGGGCCTGCAGATCCGCCGCCGCGGCGCCAGCTGGACGGGCACCATGTTCGGCAACGCCATCTACCTGGCCGACGCGGCCAGCAAGTCCGCCAGCTTCTGCCGCTACGAGGCCTGGGAAGGGCGCGGGGTCCTGCTCCTGTGCGAGGCCGACGTCGGCGTCCACCGCATCCGCTCCCAGACCAGCATCTACAACGGCCACGAGCTCATCCGGCAGTCCCGCGGCCGCCACCGGTGCATCGAGGGCCTCGGCCGCACGGGGCCCAAGACATGGAGGAAGATTGAGTGGGAGATGGAGCCTGGCGTGGGCGACGGGGTGCCCTTGATGGTATGTGTGTGTGTGTGTGTGTGTCTTTTTCGTTGGGTTTTTCTTTGGTCAAGAGAGGGGGAGGGGGGGGGAGTAAGTGGAGGATCCGTTGCTTAACTTCCCGTTCTTCCTTCTCTTTAAATTCCCCGTCTTTCTCCTCCTCTGTGATTTCTCCGGCTGCTCATTATCACTATCACACTTTTCGTTTCTGTTCACGCCCCTGTGCCAAAAGAAAAAGCAAAGGATGTTCCTCCTAACCTCGTACTATGAATCTCCTCGGCGCAGCCCGAGCCGACAGTCCCCTACAGCGACACCCACTCCGGTGGCACCCTGGGCTTCAACGAGTACGCGCTCTACGACCCCTCGCACGTGCTTCTGCGCTACCTGTTTCGCGTCAAGATCAAGCGACGACCTTACTAGCTAGCTACTCCTCAGATCCGGCCCTGGATGATGGATGATGATGACGACTATAATGGCTATTCTGATGGGTGTTGTTGTGGTTGCCGAGGATGCTATAGACGAATTCCTGGTTTTAATGCGCACTGACGGGCTTTCGCGCAGGGACGAAACATGGGCGTTGGGCGTCAATTTGTGTACACCACTGATATATGTCAGTGCGTAACGGATTGATTGACTGATTGATTGCACGGCTTCACGGCTGAGGACGCTTCACGAACGACCGACCGCCTTGGGATGGATGTGCCATCTGATGACATGAAACACGCATGACTTATGTGCTGGACACGACCCGAGGAAGCGTCTTACCCCCTTGGGTCAAGCAAGGTCCGGGATATCAAGTCTTTGAAGGGTGCATGACTTCGGTGGACGGATTCGTTTCTTCTCACTAGATTCTTCAAGACATTGGCGACTTATTTGCGAACCATTTTGGGGCTGGAGTTGGATTCAGGTTTGGGCTTTGGGTGTTTTTCTGGTGCTCAACGAACTTTTGAATGACTATGATCCAATGTGTTGTCATGACCGGGTCCGCACTGTTTGGCTCGATAATTTCGCGGAAATGGGTACAGCGTAATGATACTCCAAGATTACATCGTCGAGCCCCCCCGCCACCGAATGGACCAAGGACTCGTCTTCAGAAGCGTACTCGCTTGGATGACCATGTCAAGAACCGGATTCCCTCGTTTCTATGGTGTGACTGTGCCAGCAGTGACGTGTCATTCCACCCATTGAAAACAGCGCCTTGCGGAGATAGACACTGATAGACAGCGCCACGGCCACGGTTCGATTGCTGTTGTGTGGCCCCATAACTTGAATAGCTTCTCTTGCGCGCCTGATGTCGTGGAGTCAAAGGCTTTTCGTTTGCCGCTGTGCGCCGCTCTCACCATCACCCGCCACATCGTTCCGAAGATTGTGTACAACAACGTCCCTTGACCGCGGTTTACGGTTGTCTCTTTGTCTGGAGTCATCCTCTTATTCTGTGTCCGGCATCATCCGTGGCGTCGATCGTGAAGTCCGGCTACTCCCTCCTGAAGCCGTCGCAGCCGGTGCCCTTCGAGACGTTCTCCAGGAAGACCGTAGGGCAGAGCAGAGACAAGACTCGGAGTTATGTGTAAAGGTGGTCGCCTGCTTCAGGAGTCTATTTCGCAGACTGGATTTCGTGAGCAGGCATTTTCGTAAACACGTTCGTTTCGGTTCCGGCTCGGTCCAGCTGGATCGACGTCTGTCACATATCCGCCGCATGATGTCGCCGCTGCGGCCTGGTATTCCCCAGCGCATCCATTATATTCCTCTCCCGCACCTCTCGCATGTACTGCCTCTGCTGGTCGGACGGGGTGAATGGGTCGCCGGCGTTGCTTGCTTTGCTTAACAGTCTGTGGACTACGTATCCCATCGTGACGAGCGCGGCGGCGCCAAAGATGCATATGGCGATGATTCCTTCGTAGGATATCATCTTGGCTAAGCGATCTGGACAATTGGGATCCGAAATCGAGGCTTTTCTCTCGGTATCGGGAGCTCGACGTAACGATCGTGCTCCGGTCTGAGGACTTGGAATGATGTACCGTTGGCTCGCAGATAGACAGCTAGAGGTGGCAGCTCTAATCTTTCTGCTCCCTCAAGGCTTTATGAACCATGCCGAAAGGGCCATGTCATATAAGGCGATATGTATTTCGTTGCAGAAGAGCTTGCCCAGTGAGGAGGCTGTCGCGAGATGTGATTGGTCGGCTCGGGTTATGGAGTCGATTGAGAATCTGGTGGGTCAAGAAACGGGGTTGTGCCACGGGATATTTTTGAGACATCAATCTTTCTTCCTGGGCAAGGGATGCTAGCACGAGTCAGAGAAGCACCATTCGGTCAATGAAACCCTCATATCCACCCTTTGCCATCCAGAGCAACGATTGGTGAGCTCGGGTTGTGGGCTTTGGGGGGTAACGGCCCGCCCAGAAAGGATAGCTGGCTATGCGTCGTCGTCACGCCAGAGCAAGGAGACTGGATTCCGGATCATTTGTTTGTGGTGGAATGCGAGGAGCTTTGCTGCCGCCTCTCTGGGGCTAGAAGTGAGAACAACAAACCCTGCAATTTTGGACACGGATTGCGGCCTCAGTCTGACGTTGGCTCCCATCGTAAAGGTTGGCAAGTAAGAACGAACGGCATCGGCGCCTTGTCTTCAAACCCTCACCATGTAGTCAACTAATGACCACACGTGGTTCTCATCTTGCTCCCACTTTTGGACTTGGTGGAACTTGGCGGCTCGTCCGTCAGAGTCTTGAAGCTCGATCATCTGACTCCAGTGCACTCGGTGGTTCTCGGGCGGTAGCTCGGTTTTGGAGGGCTCTGGACAAAAGACCCCGTGAATATTGCCTGATTCCTCGATCCCTACCGACCATTCAGCGATGTCGGCCATCGCGTCAGCCCTCCAAGTATTTTCCACCTGAGTCCCCTTTCGGAGTAACGAGATGGCCTGTCGACGAATGATCGGGTGCCGACACTTGACGCCGACGGCGAACAATGAAGGGATGACTCGGGTCTCGAACATGAAGACTGGCCGCAGCCCTTCGCTCCTGGGGGTGATGACCCGACTGGCGTGGTCGACCATATTCTGAAACAGGGGGAAAAGGTCGTCGAAATCCGTTTCATACATACTCAAACCTGTGCACACCAAGATGAAATAGTAGCCATACACCACATGGAGCAGGGAATAGGGCTCGATTTCATCCTGACTGGGTGCTCTCCTAAAACATATGGTCATATCTTCGTATGCTGAGAGCCATTTCAGAAAATCCCTTCGAAGTTGCTGCTGTCGGGAAATCAAGTCCGGAGTTGGTACCCAGTCTTTCGGTTTGTTGATCCTGATCTCCCTTGTATCTAGGATAAAATCGTGAGCCGCAAAGAGCAGGATATAGAGCTCGTCTCTGGCGTCCGCCAGCGTTTCGAAAAATGTATGACCTAGAGCCCTTCCACGGCTGAGAGGAAGTCTTTGCGATGCAGACATGTTTTGCAACAAAGCTCGGACTGTGCTTTCGATAGAGCGTTCGTCATGTGTTAGCGGACGGGTGCAATGCTCGGGTTCTGCAGCCGTTTCCATCATGGCGACTGCTCGACGATACAGCGCTATTGCCTCGGACGGATTGTCTTGGAGGCACTCTATACAAATGTATAGAATGCAAGATATGACAGCAGTGGTTGACCGGGTTGATGCTTGTTTCAATCGTGCCCGTAGACGAGCGATCGATTTGCCATACCATGCCAGAGCCCTTCGATGCTCCCCATTTGCGATGGGCATTGTCTTGATTCCTGCCTCTGTAGATCTGCCTGAGGACTGAAAGTGTTGAATCAGAGAAGACAGAGCAATGACAACGTCCCAGATCACAGGGTCTGAGTGACTGAGCTGAGGAAGAAGGCGACGCCAGAAGTGTTCATCCACTGTGCGTGAACAATCAGGCACGACTCGCCGCACGAAAAACTCGAATGATTGGACCTCGATCTGCTCGAAACTGGCATATGTCGGAGGATTTTTAACTTGCACTATGGCACGGTTCGTGTTTGGTGACCAGGCGTGCCAAGCTCCCGCAATGCCAGGGCGAACATAGCCATCACATTTTCTCCCTGTTGTCAGGCATCTTTTGCAGGCTGGGCGCTCCTCATCGCACTTCAGTTTTCTGATCTTGCAAGTGATGCATCCGTCATGAGACTTGCGACTGCCGAGCTGGCCTTTTCTTGGTCGTGAATTTTGCAAAGTCATGGTCAGACCTTGACGCGATATTGATGATTAAGAAGCAAGCAGACCCCATCAGGGAACCATATTCCAGCCCTTGGATTAGGACTACCTCTCAGCTTGTAAGGGTCTTGTAACTGAAAAACGAACAAGCCTGGATAGTCTCAACGGCCAGGTGGGAAGAAAGGGGGAAGTTGGATTTAGCATGATAGAAGTGCTGGTAGTGCCAAAGTGGCAGTGAATGTCCCGCCGCTTTTGGAAGCTGTTCTGGGCGCCAACATCGCTAACTTTGTCAGAGAGATTGAGAACTCCTATTTATTTATAAGGCCAACATCGCGGCCCTGGACATAGCGCCTTGAAATTGTCAGAAGAGATCGACTGTGCAGACTAATAAGCCAAGATACTGCAAGGTGGGTGCATATTGACTGAACGCTTCAAGATAAGTGCCAGTCCGAGGGCCATTTACGGTGGGTTACACAGCTCCTTGTGCTCGGGTGACTCAATATAGCTGCGATCCCTGATGGAAACCTACGATCATTTGTCAGAATGTTGCGAAGGACAAGAACAAAGCACATCTTCTCTCTGGTCAAAGGACCACCGCTGCGTCGAAATCTTCACATGGACAAGTCCCCCAAATTCCGATTTAGACGCCTCCTGGACGGCCTGGCGTACGAATTTCACCTTCGAGCCGGGAATGCCAAAGAGAGCGTCTACGTGCGGTCAGACTCGGTAGGGAAGATGACCTACGATAGGGATTTCGGATGGTCGATCTGGGACGATTCTGACCCCAGTGCCCCGCGGACGCTGTTGGGACGCGTGTGGGAAGTCCCAGTCAAGGACCAAGGCGATCTCCCACCCGAGGGAGTCTGGGTCAGTCGTAAGGCGGACAAGTCATATGTCTATATCCTCGAGTACCTGGAATAAGGACCCTGGTAACCAGGAGATCGTGCAAGGTAAGATATAGCTATTGCAATCTCGCGCAGAGAGAAGGCGAAGCTGAAGAAATCCAGGTTTCGAGACCTCAGCCTGGGAAAACTGAGGCGTCAAACAGAGGATCTATGTCCAAGTCGAAGAAGGGTCTCGGTTCCAACAAGCGCCTTTGGCTTTTAAACTAATTCTTGATGAGCTTCTTACCAACATGATCAAATTAAGAAGACTGGACTACCTGAGAGACATAACTACAGTCGATGAAAATGGAAGCGACAAGGCTGCACTGGCGAAGCTGCAAGGCTGTGACACCTGTTCAGGCTTGCGCGAAGGAATGCTTCCCCCAGGATCCCCAACGCAAATTGCGTTCATTAGCTGAATGCTGACCTTCTTGGAATAGGGAAACTGGCTAAACTCTGATTTCTTACAGTATTCTGGCCGCAGCTTCAACAGACGACCCTGGTACTCGAGTGAAGGGGCCTTGAGCCCCTTGAACCAAGAGACGTCTTGGGTAATGTCGAAACCAGCTGGCATGATAGGAGCGGACTATTCCAGCAAAAATCAACACCGATAATTGACTCACTCTTCCCAGCTATGGAGGACAATCTCGATTGCACCTTGCTGCTACCCTCGCATACGGGCCCCAATGTCTTCCCAAACAGCCCTTTCTTTGGCAAGCTCCTGCGGCATGCACGACGCGGTCGAGTCGCCGTGGTAGCCGTCAAGACTCCATCCGATCTTGCAGAGGACGGCGTTGGACACCAGTGGTTGACGATCGAGCGCCTTCGAGCAGACCTCCGCGTCGAACTGACGCCGTACAAGCTCCCGACTCTGCTCCGGGTCGTGCAGGGCGAGCTCCCCGAGGGCGGCAGGGGCAAAGTGCAGAAGAAGATCCTGGGTCCCCAGATGTTCCCGCCGGGCTGGAGGACGGACGCGGATGTGCGGTTCTGGGATCCTCAGCGAAACAAGGGGCCTAGGCCGTCAATAGATCTTACATGCCTGGCGGATCTTGGTTCCATCTTATCCGAGTCTTTTATCATGATATCCTTCACCACCGTCGTCGCCATCTGGCTTGCTCGGCGCCAACGGTCTTAGACCAGCGTGGAGTAGCACATCCCTCACCCTCACACCCGTCCACTCGGCGTTCATGACCGCTCCACCGCACCAACCCAATCTACTGACCTCGCCCAGACGCTCACGCATCTCGTAGCGCCGATTGCCCGCGCACTGCAGGGCGCAGGTGATGCTGACCTGCTCAAAGTCCGCGGACAGGTTAGAGAGCGAGAGGACAGTATCGAGGAGGTGGGGAAGGATATTTTTCGCGTTCGAGGACGATGAGAGCAAAGGGTCGGATGTTATCGAGAGGCGATGACTGGACGCGTTGAGGTGTTGTATGGGTCCGCGATTGGGGTCGTAGGCAACCAGCTGTGGTTTATCTTTAGATTGAGGATGTGAACTGCGTTCGGACTCGGGCTTGGATTGGGTGGGCGTGAGGAAGCTGCGCGAAAGAGTCAACGTCCGTCTTCACGTCTCCGTTCGAGCCTGGTATGGCACTGTGCCGGTCGCCGTGCCACTGCGTCCTACCTTTGTACAAGCCTCCCAGGTTCTGGCTCTCTGTTGACAGGCTTCTGGGCAGAGCCATTGTCGCCTGGATTCATTGCGATTGTTTTTATCCCGGATGTGCCAAAGACTATATTTGCTGAGAAAGATATGGCGCGTTAGCAGCGCTTTGTTGAGAGGATTCGACACCTCGACTTGTTAGTCTTTTGATGGAGTCGAATGAACGACGTCGCCGCGAAGCATTCATGAATCATTCACACAAACACGCCTCCGCATTACACTTGATGACTGACGCCACAGAAATGATGGACTTTTGATTGGTTTCTCATGTGGCCGTGTGAAGCATAACATGCTCCGGGCAGTAAGAAGAAGTACAGAATTGTCCTCCAGAAAGGAAAGCAAAACTGCTCGCCGGCCCAGAGGGTCATTCATGGTTTCCGGGTGTTCTCTCATAACCAAGGCAGTATTGGATTCGTCCCAAACCAAATGAACGCTTCGTATCCAGTCACGCTATGCAAAATCATGATCCCAGTAACACGTCTCACTTCTTCCCTTTTTTCCCTTTTCCCTTTGCCGGTTCGTCACTGGGGCCCAGGATCGCATCAAAGGTGATGTTCGGATTCAGTGTTGAAGGGGGTCGAGAGTTGCCGCGGTACGAAGGGGGCGCATCCATGGCCTCCAAGCCCAAATTGACCGAACTTCGATCTCGACTGATGTTGCGGAATTCGCCGGAGCCAGAAGGAGATGTCGGCCGCAGGAGTGGTGAGTGTATCGGACTGACGTAAGGTGATTGAGCAGGACTCGCATACGGCGAATATGCGCTGGCCGGTCGCGGTTGCAGTCCATCACCATCCACACGCTTTGGTATTTCCATGGTCCCTTCTCGAGGTGAATCTTCCAGCCACCTCGTAGCAGCTGTCCAGCAATGACTTCGTCGGTAAATTCCTTCAACGCTGTGGTCAATCAGGTCTGCTGGGAGACTCACGTAGCCACCCCCACTGGCAACGTTGTACCATGCTCGAGACGTGGACTGGTCCTCCTTCATCCAGGGCCGGCCACCTCTTGGTGCAACGCACAGGAAATACTCGACGCCTCCTGTATGCTTGAGGTCTCTAGCGTCCACCACGGTCATTGGAAGAGCCTGAAGAACGGCGTACATGAAGAGCCATTGCCCACATCGCGCGTCGACGACCTGGTCAAGGGTTTTGCCTCGACCAAGTTGGCGCTCGTAACCAAAGAAGTCTTGAATGAACGTGCTCGCGACGATCGATTCGCGATTGTAGGCTCCTAGTAGCACTTCGTTGATCTCATTCTCTCTCAGCTTTTTGCTTTGGGCTGCCGATTTGTCGGATATGACCACATGACGACGGTTGAAACTATTGGAGAACTGCGGAATTAAAGGGGTATCGAACGGTAGGGGAGGAATGACTGGCGGTGTCGCTCGGTCATACTCGCTCTCTACCCTTCGGAGCGCATGTTGTATGGTTTCGTTCTGGTCGTCGGTTTCGGCATCATCGGCCATTGGTGGCATATCGACAGTCCGTGTCGTGATTGCGGAGCGATCCACCAGGATGTCGTACAGATTTGTAAAGTCTTTGTACAGCTCCTGCAGCAATATCCGATTCAACCCACTTTCTTCGAAATTGTTCTTTTTGGAGGATGCTTTCGGAGGCCAAGCACCGTATCGCCGACGCAGATAGGCCATAGTGAATCGTCTGAAGTCCAGAAAAGCGGCTTTCCATTCCTTGAACCGAATAAGCTTGGCTTCAGTCGACGTCTGCGAGTTGGCAATCCCAGCAAACATGGAGGGGAAGTCGAAGTCTTCGAGCTTGCCCTTGACCATCAGCAGCCTCTGCTCCATGTCGATTTGGGCTCGCTCGAGCCGATTGATCGTGACTGGCGACATCTTCTCGTATTTGGGACTTTTGATTGACTTGATATCCGCGAGACGACCGACTGCGTGGCAAAACCCTTCATTGTACAATGGCCATGATTTGAGGTGTTCCCCGAGAACTATAGCCTCGATGGTCTTTTCACGACTTGACCTCACATCAGCCAGTCGGAGCTCGTCACAGTAACGCGAAAAGCTATTGTACGGCACATCACCCCATGTGGAGCCGTCCGCGTTGGAGAAGGAAAATCTCTTGAGGATGCTGCTTATGCCCATGAAAATTGAAAACAAAGTCACTTGCCTGGGTGTTGCGACCAGCGCCCCGCCGGCGAGGAAGGCGAAGAAGTTGCGATACAGGACTACAAGTTCGAGATCATCTCCGTGCAGCTCTGAGCCGGGCTGAGATACGTCTGCTTCAAAACCTAGGGGTAGATAGAGATGCTTCTCCTGGCTGATTGAAGTGACAATATTGGGTACCGAGAAGTTTGTGGGCCGATAGACTGAGCTCTCCTGCGAAGGCGGGCGTATTTGTCTTGGGGTCATTGACATTTCTGAGAAGGCGGCCTGCATTTGAGGAACGTCGCTGTTTCTATCGACGGGCGAGGTCGGAGACTGCATGCGAAGGTCGACGAGGGACCTTGAGTCAACCAGGAGGGCGGAGTCGATACGAAAACAAGGCCCCTTGCCCGAAGATGGAGGATAAAGATATATGACCGTATCACCGTAATCACTCCAGAGATCGGGAACTCTCTCGCCTGTCAACAGCGGCGTCAGGTCGTATGCCACATGCTCCCGCAGCCCAGCGATCCACGCGTTGTGCGCCCCTTGGCCGTTATCAAATTTATGTTTATCTGATTTTCCATGAAGCCAACTCTTCTTCTTTGCAATCTTTGCCGAAGGGGGCGTCGCAGATTGACCTGGTGTGCCGGCTGTACCGGGAGGTATTAACAAGTTGGGTGTCTGAGGCCGACTCCTGCTAGCATCCCTGCTCCGTGCCAGGCTATGTGGACTGCTATTCCTACTCCCAGACAAGCTGTCCGGTGCGCTCTGATGGCTGCTCGGGGGGCGCACCGCTCCAGCGTCGGAGAGGAGAGGAGGCGGAGCAAGTGGAGGTAGGCTAGCGTTCAGATCGATCTCGGAGGAAGAGGTCATACGATGTTTGTGCAGTTTGTGCGATATGGCGTGGCCAGTAGACTGAGGTGGAATATGAGGAGAGGTCGCCGTCGCACTTTCCATCGTTGGAGGGATATCGGGATCAACCTTGTCGGCGGAATCGCGCGAGAGTGAAAATAACGATGATAATCGCTTCGCCATGCTGAACGTACGGCGCCTCTAAAGCGCCTTCAGAAATTTGGATATGTTCCCTTTTTCTTCTCTCAGCACAATAAACGAGTGTAATGCTGGCTAGCTCTTTTAGCGAGTGGTTGTCATGGCCGCAATTCACTTGTGCCCACGATGTATGGCTTAGCTGTTTGAGGTTGCTAAATACGGCTCAGTGTGCTGTCGTGTCACCATGATCGAGGGAAAGGTGGATGCCAGGAAGGTGACTCGAGGATCTAGGAGGGCCAGAGAATTGGAAAGGGTAAATCAGATAGGCCATGCATGTCCTAACGCCCCGGAAGAGCGTCTTGCAGGGGGGATGAGATTCGACTGGGGTGAGCCGCGTGTGTGCGTATGTTGGAGGGGCTGTGGGTGGGTGAGGCAAATAATAATCCTGTGTAATGTGATGGGTAGTGATGCCAGAAGTAGTGAGAATGATGAGCTGATGGATGGAGAAACAAGTGTCAGGAAGGACAAGGATGAGGTTCCGCGGTGTCTCTAGGAGACGCCTCGGCGTCGCACCTCGTCCTCCCTCGAGTGTTGGAATTCACCAACTTCAGCCATCCCACCGCATCTGCTGATCAGGGCAGACGTTTTGTGCCTGCGTCACCCGCACTTTTCAGCCTCTGCCGTTGACGTCGACGTCCCCAGTTTCCACTCGCAGCCTTTGCCTGTTGTCGCCTAGATCGAGGGACCACCCACTGCGGGCGATGCTTGAGCTACCGCTAACTTCTAGCCTAGCGAGACACCAATGGGGCGAGGGACAAGAGGAGTACGGAGGCAAAAAAAAAAGGCAATGACCTGGATTGAAAGGAACACGATGACTGGATCGCAGGCCTGAAGCAGCGAGGGAAAATTCTGCTCCCTTCTTGCTGACCATGTTACCAGGGACTACGTATACCTATCTTGGTGCGTATAACTGCGATATAACCACGCTGGAGTCAGAAACTGATGCAGAGGTCTCGTCGACAGCTGCCGTCATCGCTAACCCCCATCTTCCGGGCACATCCCGTGTCAATAGCGCCCAAGATGACACTTAGGGCAATCTCCCACACGGATTCTCCAAAGATACCGAAAAACAGGCATATTGATCTCCTCAAGGGCTGGCCACACCCGAGCTTGCTGCCGCCCCAGCAGCTGGACCAGGCCTCCGCACATATATTATCCAATCCGTCCAATTCGGACGTCTTGTTTTATGGTCCAGACGAAGGCTATCAGCCGCTGAGGGTAGAAATCGCCAAATGGCTCAATGATTTCTATCGACCAAGCGAGACAGTCTCCAGCGAGAGAATATGTATCAGTGGTGGTGCCAGCCAGAATCTAGCGTGTATTTTGCAGACTTTCACTGATCCGATCTATACTCGCAATGTCTGGATGGTGGCTCCGACATATTATTTGGCTTGCAGGATCTTCAACGACTCTGGTTTTGACAAGAAGCTGAAAGCTGTGCCCGAGGATGCAGAAGGCATCGACCTCGAATTCCTCGAGCGAGGTCTCCGAGAAAGTGAGAATCGGGCGCTGGCCGAAAACAACACGTCACCCCGAATCAAGTCACCTAAGCCGTGGAGGAAGATATACAAACATATAATATATGCAGTACCGACCTTTTCCAATCCTTCAGGTCGAATCATGAGTCTGGGTCATCGGCAAGACCTAGTTCGCCTAGCGCGGCAATACGACGCTCTCATCGTGACCGACGACGTCTACGACATGCTTCAATGGCCATCTGATCCCAAAGCTGGCTCGCGCAGGATCGACACTGCTGTGCTGCCACGAATAGTCGATATTGACAGGCAACTCGATGGCGGGGTAGTTGACGATTACGGGCATGCAGTGAGTAATGGGAGCTTCAGCAAAATTGTTGCGCCGGGCTGTCGAACAGGCTGGGCCGAAGGGACTCCGGCGTTGGTCTATGGATTGTCACAAACAGGTTCAAGTCGCTCTGGAGGTGCCCCTTCTCATCTGGTTGCTTCCTTCATTTACCAGATGATGGATACCGGGGTTTTGCAAAATCACATCCTGCAGGAATTACAGCCAGCGTATGCACAACGATATCATCTGATGATGCGAGCGATTGAGCAGCACCTGTTGCCATTGGGCCTGACCATGCCTCAAGTGGACAAGGATGTTGCGGGAGGCTACTTCATCTGGTTGACCCTACCAGGCTCCTTGAACTCGACACGCATCTACAAACGAGCGTTGAAAGAAGCAAATTTGACTGTCATTGCAGGACCGATGTTCAAGGTGGACGGAGACGAACAAAAAAAGGAGGCGAGGTTTGAACAGGATCTCCGCCTGTGCTACTCTTGGGAAGACTTGGATGTGCTCGAGGAGGGCATTGCTCGATTGGCTCAGGTGATTGAAAACGAGATGGAAGCAAACAGGTCAGGTGGAGGATGAGCTGGAGTGACAATGGATGTGAATGTTGATGAAGGATATGACTTGTCACTGCTCTAGTTAGTCGAATATCAAACTTGGCTCTGAGCCTGTTTTATCACTGCCCGACCTGGTACTTTTGACCAAGTCATATTTTCCTCCCTCGCTTCCACTGGATCCAGGATCTGCAATGATCGGGATTATATCCAGCCACACGGTCAAGCCTCGACAGCGCCACTCCCGCCACCCGAATTGATCCCTTGTCAAACGTAGCATGTTTCGGAGTGTTTCAAACCCCTGGCGCCCAGTCCGCCAATCGGATGAGATGCAAGGTGCCAATTTCACGGCATTTTCGAACATTTCGCTTCGTGTCATCTTCCTCCTCCTTTCTCGACAGCTTCTCTTCCGCTTCGCACCTTTCCCAGTCTATAACCCGACGAGTGGAGAGGAAGCTGTATGCGGATTAAGGAGCTTCGAGGGTTGGCACATCCAACGAATCAGATGTCCAGGATAGTTCGATGTTGCTTGTTTTTGACTCGCCTGCGGCCTAGGTGCTTCTGTGCGGAGCGGCGCGAAATGCCCTAGCTTCACCGGAACAGCTGGTCCAGGAGGTAATGTCGGCAGTGAAAGATCGGAGACACTGGGTTCCTGCTTGACACCCCCTTTGTTCAGATGCGAAAGGGAAATAAAAAGGACAGCAGGAGTCCACATGGAGATGGGTCGGGGACGGTGTGGTGCGAAATTGGGACAAAGGGCAAGCAACGCACCAAACGCAGCTGGCTGGCTGATGCCGTGTACAGAGTACGTACAACTGATCGACACTGCTGGACTGACTGCAAAGGTCGAACGAGATTGAAAAGAAAACCGGGATTCTCTGTGAGACTGCCATCTTCTTGTGCTCCTGCTGCGTTGTGTGGGTGAGTGTGCAAGTCGAACAAACGCCTGCCAGCGCATATCATCAACACCGCAGTCTCTCCTTCTCATTCTGTCTGTCACTCACTCAGCAAATCAAGGGCTGCACTCGTTGTCCCTTACCCTTTCTTTGGTCCTTTCGCTCACTCGGTTCTCGTTGGGTTCCTTTATTCTTTGGCTTTATTCTTTTCAGGTCGGTTCTTGTGCCCGAAGACACCTTTGTCATTCATTTGGAGAGAAGAAAGACGCAGAGAAAGCGGGAAAGAAAGGCTTCGGAACAATTGCCCTTACTGACGACCTCGCTCGTTGTCGCTACCGGACCCTCCTAACCAACAATTGTCTGTCTATCTTTGCGAATGCAGCTGCGATTGTCAATAATCGATTGTCTTCTGACTTCCATTCATCACTGTTCGAAACCCTGTCGTCACTTGCACGTCTGATCCCGTGCCTGCCACTTCTTTCCACGTCCAGTTCTCCTGTGCGCAGTTCACAAGACCACTTCCACCACTTCCAACACACTTGTCACCATCGTTGAGACGCGATTTGAAGGCACCCACACGCGTGATCGCTGCCTTTGACAACTGCCTCGATCTTGTTTGTCCGGTGCTGGTCGCCTCAGACTCTTAAAGAATCACTTTCAGATCCCCCGACTCCTCTTCGAAATCATCTATTCTAACCTTCTTACAACAACAACAACAAAGATCCTGAATCAACACCGACGTCAAACATGTTGTTCCCCTTCCTACTCCTTCTCTTCACCTGGCTTGCCAGGGCCGCACCGAGACCGGTCCCCATCGAACCTCGACAAGCGGCGTCCTCGTATTGGCTCTCTCAGATCCAGCGACAAGGCACTGTGGCTTATGGCTCGAACCCTGGCTACAAGATCTTTCGCAATGTCAAAGACTATGGTGCGGTTGGTGATGGTGTGACTGATGATACCGCTGCCATCAACAATGCCATTACCGACGGGTCTCGATGCGGACAAGGCTGCGATAGCTCTACCACCGTCCCTGCAATCGTCTATTTTCCCCCTGGTACCTATGCTGTCTCGTCTCCAGTCATTCAGCTCTATTACACCCAATTCATCGGTGACGCTCTCACCATCCCGACTATCCTTGCCTTGCCTAGCTTCCAAGGGTTGGCTGTATTCGACACCGATCCTTACATCCCTGGTGGGAATGGTGCTCAGTGGTATACAAATCAAAACAATTTCTATCGACAGATACGCAACTTCGTCGTCGACATCTCCCAGATGCCAGAAGACCAAGGAGCGGGTATTCACTGGCAGGTTGCGCAAGCCACCAGTCTCCAAAATATTGTCTTCAATATGCGCCCCAAGAGCCCCACCAACAAGCAGCAAGGTATTTTCATGGACAACGGCTCTGGAGGGTTTATGTCAGATCTCGTATTCAACGGCGGTAATTACGGTGCCTTCTTGGGTAACCAACAATTCACCACGCGGAATATGACATTCAACGGCTGCAACACTGCGATTTTCATGAATTGGAACTGGCTGTGGACTCTGAAGTCGGTGGCAATCAACCAGTGTGACGTCGGCATCGACATGTCAAACTTAAATAACGGAGTCAACCAGAGTGTGGGCTCTGTCATTCTTCTTGACAGCGTCATGACTGGCACTCCGATTGGCATAAAGACTTCGTACAACATGACCAGCCAGCCTACTACTGGAGGTACTTTGGCCTTGCAGAACGTCGACTTCACAGGAGTTCAGACTGCTATTGTCGGTGCAGATGGTACTACTCCCATCCTGGCTGGCGGCATGGTCGTGGGGTCCTGGGGTCAAGGTGACACCTACACCCCTGCCGCAGGAGCAAATGCTGGATCTCAGAAGGCCAAGCGAGAGCCACAAGGTGGACCTTTATCCATGCAGCCTCCGTCGATCTCATACTATTCAACGACCACAACCACGCTCACCGTTTCGGCCATCCCGCCACCGAGTGGCATATTGGTCACAACCACAACCGTCTATGTTACTGCATCTCCGACATCCACTGGCAGTGCTTCGGTGACATTGACAGTTTCACCTGTTCCTTCATTCAATGGCAGCGCTTCTTCGACTGTTTCGACTAATAATACAGTATCTCAGCCCTCCGCAGAAACTCCGGGCGTGTGTTCTCCAACCCCAGTGTCACTGCAGTCGGCACGCGTTCAACAGCCGTTGACTGCTCCAACTATGGCCGCGTCTCTTATGAACGGCAACAAGGTTTTCGAGCGCTCTAAGCCACAGTACCAGAACGTTCCAGTTTCGTCCTTCGTCAGCGTCAAGTCGGCAGGCGCCAAAGGCGATGGTGTAACTGATGACACTGCAGCAATTCAAAACATTCTCAACAATGCCACTCCCGACCAGGTTGTTTACTTCGACCACGGCGCCTACGTCATCACCGATACCGTCATGGTTCCCTCCAACATCCGCATCACCGGAGAGATCTGGCCTCTCATCATGGCTCAAGGTACGGCGTTCTCAGATATCAACAATCCCAAGCCCGTCTTCCAAGTAGGAGCTTCGGGGGATGTCGGTTCTGTGGAGATATCAGATCTTGTTTTCGAGACCCTCGGCCCCGCCCCTGGTGCTATTATAATGCAATGGAATGTTGCAGAGGCGTCTCAGGGCTCTTGTGGCATGTGGGACGTCCACTTCCGGATAGGAGGCACTGCGGGAACTCAGCTGCAGCAAGATACATGCCAGGCTAACGTCACTGGCTCCTTTGAATTCAAGCCCCAGTGTGCGGGTTCCTTCTTGTTGATGCACATCACGCAAGAGGCATCTGCCTATTTGGAAAATTGCTGGTTCTGGGTGGCTGACCACGAGCTTGACATCACTACACACAACCAAACCAATATTTACAACGGCCGTGGATTGCTTGTCGAGAGCCAAGGCCCTGTTTGGTTGTACGGAACATCCTCCGAGCACAGTCAGCTCTACAACTACCAGTTCTCCAATGCTCGGGATATCTTCATGGGTGCGATCCAGACGGAAACCCCTTACATGCAGGCAACTCCGAACGCGTTACAAGGAGGTTTTCCACCCACTTCCGCATTTTCAGACCCTACCTTTGCCGACTGTACCACTGACTCGTGCAAGAAGTCTTGGGGCTTGCGAATTGTGGATTCAAGTGATATTCACATGTACGGTGCAGGTCTCTACAGCTTCTTTGACAACTATCTGCAAACATGCTTGGATACCGAGTCGTGTCAAGAAAACATGGTCGACATCCAATGTTCATCCAATATCAGCTTGTACGGCCTTACCACGAAGGCTTCTGTGAATATGGTGAACGTTGATGGAACTCCTGAAGCTATCGGACAAGATCATGAGAACCTGTTCGGCCAGACTTTGCTTCTGTTCGAGACTTGAAGTATTGAGCGATCCGAACCAGAGGAACATCAGCATCACCAGGGAGAAAGCAGAAAAGGAATGAATAACCATTAGGAAACAATGATGGAGGGACACCGGAGCTGATTTGTTGTGCATCTATTGGACAGTGGGAGATTGAGCTCAAGCACGAGCGAACCTGCATGGTTATGAGCATATGAGGTTTTAGCAGGCATAAGTTACTGTGATGGCTTGAGATTCATGATACAGGTGTTGGCTGGAAGTTTCAATGTGCATTGAGATACCCCCATGGCTAAGAGTGTCACTTTGGAGATGCTCTTGTTCTGCTTTAGCTTTGAAAGACAGCATACGAATGAACAAATGATATGAAATGGCGTCCAGTGTTGATTGATATTGTGGCCCTGCCGGCACGATGACTTGGTGAGGCTTCAAGCTGATCTACATACCTCAACTCTAGCTCAGGTTCTGGGGCTCAGCGGGAATTGCCCCGCCAAGATTGGATTTTCAGCTCCGGAGCATTTGGATGTTGGCGAGTTGACGTGGCAGCCTGATAGCGTTTCCACGTGCTGAGGTGGACCACCCAAGTCATCCATGTGGGAGAGAAGACTACAACTGTAGTGGCGCACCACAGCCCAGGATTAGCGCAATTTCACCTTCAACACCGCCACTACCCTCAGAGTAGGATCTCGGTCAGGCGCCAGACTGCTCAATGGGAGTTTTGCGCGGAAGCGAGAACAATGCCACCACCTCAATTTAGCCGGCCTCCTCACGAGACAACGACACTAAGCATGGTTTTGTTATCTGTCACTCGCAATCCTTATGTTTCCCCCGCCCTCAGGGCCGCAAGGCGTTCCTCTGGCCATTGTCTAGTGCCGTGTAGAGCGATTCGAAGTTGGAGACGAGGCAGCGCGCAACGGGAGCTACCCTTTACGCTAGGGCCGAATTCAGCCCCAGATGGCGACAATGGATGACAAAGACACTGAACTGAAGCAACTCTGGGAGGAAGCAGTGGCAGAGTATGCAAGTCGATCGAAGAGGGGGACCATATCGGAGAAGTGGAAAACGTCGGTCAAAACTGACTTCGACCTCGATAAGCTCATTGAGCAGCATGAGTCGGACTTTTCACGATTTCGAAACTCCCGTGGAAAGTTTTGGGGCCTGTTCATGTCGACGATGAGACAGCTACAGAAACTCGGCAGAGTTGCGCAGGCCGCCATCGACCTGACGCCCTTTGCGCCTGCATCCGTCATTGTCGAGGCAGGTCTCTTCCTCATCAATTCGGCTTCAGCAGTCGCCGATACGTACGATTCGCTGGAAGGCTTGTTCAAAAGGATCCGAGACATCACTGACCGCCTAGACGAGTATCTCACAGGGAACATCGACCGCAAGCTTCGGAAGGTGGTAATCAAGCTGCTCTGCTCACTTCTCGACGTGTTCTGCGAGGCCGAAGCAGCCATCGGGCGGGGCCGAGGGAAGGAGATGATGCGGCGTGTCGTTGGCAAAGCAAACAAAATTCAGACGGCACTAGACCAGCTCGACGAAATGGTGCGAGCAGAAGTCGCCCTCGTCACGGCCAAGACTTATGCTACAACGCAACGCATAGATGAGAGGGCAGAGGCTGACAGGGACCGAGAGCTACTTCGAGAAACCTTGTGCGCGGACGTTGCTCGGGACAATGAAGCATTCGGCAAGGACGTTGAGAGCTCGAGGCTCAAACAATCGGGCTACTGGCTCCTGAAAGAGAAGCTCTACGACAAGTGGGTTCGCATGGAATTCCCAGTCTTGTCGATTCTGGGGAAGCCGGGGACGGGGAAGACGTATCTAGCGTCTCGAGTCATCTCACACCTACAACAAAGCGATGGCATCGCAACCTACTTTTACATCAGAGAAGGCATGAACACCCACCACACCCCCGAAGTCATCCTGAAAACAATTGCCTACCAAATTACAAGGCTTGATGACGCCTACCACAAGCTAGCTGTTGCAATCTGTAGAAGCGACAAGAGCCTTCTGAGTCAAGATTCGATATGGAAAAGTCTACTTCTCAAACCATTTGAAGTTGACACGTCCAGGCCTCTCTTCATCGTCATCGACGGGGTTGATGAGGCCACGCCAAGAAACCAGGAGCTACTTGTCAAAATGGCCAGAAACCTGTCCGACTTGCGGTCTAGTAATAGAAGCAACCTTCCTGCCATTCAATTACTGTTGCTGGGGCGGCCCGACCTCGACTACAACATCTCGAATGCGTGGAGGGGAGAGGGTAGTCGACCGAAGATCATACACGTGGAACCTTCACTGTCCAAGGCTGACATCGAGATATTTATCAAGAAAGCAGTCAAGGAGGATATTCCCCTCTTGCACAGAATGCCACAGGGCCGGGCCAACCGGCTTAGAATCCATATTATCAAGAGTCTCGGCGACAGCGCCGATGGCATGTTTATGCTCGCCAAGCTCATGGTTGCAGAAATCAAGGATATGAACAAGCCGGAGTTGATCAGAGAAGCCCTTGCCAAGCCTCCTCAAGGTCTCGATGATATGTTCAAGCGTGTGATCACAAGGCTGACAGTGATGGGGGGGTTTGACAAAAAGGATCTCAACGAGTTGATCATGTGGGTTGCCTGTGCTAAACGCGATTTGCTCCTCGGCGAGCTCGATCTTGTTCTGAAGTTGAGAGACCTTCGGCAAAATGGTATCGTGGGGCTAGAAGACGAGCTGAAGATGAGATTCGGCTCCTTCTTCAGCCTGAGCTACCCTGAGGCCGATCCCAGTGATCAGCAAGACGATGCTTCAGTCACGGGCGATCAATCGGCGCCATCTGTATCGGGCCAGAGTAAAGAGCTGGAGGCGGAGGTCGATGCAGCCTCAGATCCCTGGAGCGAAATCGGCAATGACGCCAATAACAGCGAGGCTGAGGACAACGACGACGACGACGACGACGATGATGACGCCATAGCACCGCCAAGGTTCTTCGAGGCAACTGTCAAGTTCGGTCATGCAAGTATCGGTCAGCATTTTCGTAGCGCTCCCTTGCATGAGGGAATCGGAATGGACCTCAACCTCGCGCAGGCACACATTGCGATGACCTGCCTACTTTTCCTCACCGGCAACATTCAAACAAGAAAGGGAAGACCATGGCGCAAACCTGATCTCTTCAAATACTCCGCAAACCACTTCTTGGACCATCTTGCCGAAGTCAAGCTGGAAGCGCTCAAGTCTCTCCACCCCGACGTGTTCAAGAAGCTTTCAGAAGAGACTTTGCTCCTGTTCAGGGCCGGGTCTTGCCTTGCTCGGGGATTTGAATTCGTTCGGGATAAGCACAAATTTATGTGCCAACTCTTCAGCCAGGACACCTTGTCTCGTCTTCGAGAGTATCTCCCTGAACCAACAAACAGCATTGTCGGGAGCAGAACGTCAGACCTTGAATGGCTGCAAAAAGCGAAAGCATCGTCGGAATTTCTGCTTCAACAGTCCGCGCACTCAATTGCTGAGGCCTGGCTGGTACGAGATTCGTGTGATGGAATTGCAGCCATACTATTTCTAGACGGATTCAGGTCTCTAGTAAGCCATTTCAATTCTGTCTTTCGTCTAACTCTGTATTCTTTGCACGATTTTATCATGTATTGTCGTCCCTTCGCATGTCTCGGGCTAGCATAAAGTCCATGTATATTCGGATCTGAAAACGGTTGAGCTGACAGTTGCCTAGCGCTGTGATTCGTCCAGGAAGCAATGGACCCTGGCTCCTAATCGACCTTTCGAGCACATAACCGAGAGCATATCCCCAGATGATATCCGGCAGTTGGCGTCACTTGTCGGCTTGGAGAGGACGTCGGACTGGCATTTCGCTCTTGGCAGCACGTTCAGAAGAATCGACACCCCCCAGCACCTCCTAGCGGCCGCGGATGAGTTTCGACACGCTATTCGGAAGAGCCATGACCCGAATGACAACTGGAAATTATACCTCGAGGAAGCCTCTGCGCTGTTTTATCTAGAGAAATATGACGAAGCAATAGTTGCAGCGTCGAATGCCCGGGAGAGCCTTCCCGCCGTCCAAATCTACAGAAGGGCCGAGCTGTTCCAAATGATCTTAGTCGCCAATTTGCACCTGGGAAACGAGGAAGCTGCCGTCACGGCAGCCGCGCAGTCATGGTCAGTCGCTCCAGACTCTCCCGACGCAGCAGCAAATTTGATCTACATCTATAACAAAACAGGTCGCTTCTCTGAAACAGTGAATATCGTCAGGTCCTTTTTAAGCCCCGAGAATACCCAATGGGGGCCGGAGTTCCTTTGTGATGTCATGAAGATGGAGAGAGCAGTCATCGTCAGCGAGCTTATTTCGATTGCTTGCGCGAAAACGGGGCAGCTGGATCTTGCCCACGATGCTTTCACGGCCGCGGCGAGCCAGGCTGCCAAGGCTGGAGATAGGTCGAGACGGGCCGTGGCAGACGCTGCACTCGCCCAGCTGTGGTTTCGGTTCTATGGAAGTGATGAAAAGGCGATCGAGCTGTGGGAAAATATTTTGAAAGATCACTCCGGCACCCCTGCCGCCTTGAAGGCATCCTTCGAGCTGGCGCCATTGTACCTGACGAAGGCGACGGACCCCGAGAGAGTGGACGCAGACTCGTGGGTACTGAGGCTGAAACAGCTCGCGGAGCTCGTGGGGTGCTTGGAGCTGACGAATCCGGGCGTGAAGACGTTCCCATATCCGGATGAAGCATCTGCTCTGATGGGGCGTTGGTACGCACAGCAAGGCGAAATAGACCTCGCGCGGACAGCGATCTTACCTCTGGTGAAGCGAAGCATTCGAGATCTGACGGACAGAGACAACAGCAATGATCACAGGGCATATTGGAACCTCGCAAGGGCGCTGACTAGTTTCGGGGATCGGGCAAACGCTGCGATTGCCTATGCGTTCACGATGCCGCTTCAAAAGTCCAAGAAGCTCCAAGAATTTGAAGCCAGTTTGGACGCGACCAGGCCTCTCGCTAATACTGAACCAGACGCGCCGTTCAACTTCCAGAGCTCCTGTGACGGCAGATGTAGCAGGCTGCCGGTCGACTTCAGGTCTTTTAGCGCATGCGAGATATGCGTCGACATAGAGTTTTGCGATGAGTGCCGTCAGAAGCACATCGATGGTACTCTTGCGTTCAGAATTTGCGACCCGCGGCATCCTCTTTTCGAGATCTATCCGCCCAAAGGATTGGTTACAAAGGGAGCAGAAGGGTACAAGGTCCGGCTCGACGATGGGGTTGTAGTTAGTGCCGACGACTGGTTGGGCATGATAAGTCGGGAATGGATAGGGGCATGACGGGATCGTAGAGGTCGAGATAAACCTCGCTTCGTATCTTACGTATGCAAGTCCCTGCAGAGACCTTCGGGCGATTGCTAATATGTTGCCGCCCATACACGAAGCAATCCCTCCGCGAATACTTGGTAGTTCAGAATCTCCCGATTCAACCAGTGCCCAGTAGTTAGTCTTGCTTGGTCCTTCGGCTTTTCCCATTGTCCGTAAAACTCGAGTCCTCTCATTTTCACTCTAACGGAGGTCCTTCTCCTCCCTTCTGGAATCGCCATCTGAACGCCGTTTCTATACCAACTGTCGAGACAGATCACATTCACAGAGTGACCACCAGTTTCCTCCCGCTCACCGTCCCCCCAGCCAGTTTGTCCATTGCGGCTTGAATACTCTCGAGCCCTTTGCCCATATGCTCAGGCGGAGGCATGCATTGGACCCGCTGGTCCTGCAAAGCACTCTCGAGCCAACTCCACACCTTCGGCGCGAGGCCGGTGGCGAAGTTGCTCACCGTTGACAGATTCGTCACGATCGACACATCGTGTTTAGCGTACTGTTCGGCGCCGGGGTAGACCGAGGCGATGAACTTCCGGCCACCGCATCCATGAAGGATTTCACAGAGGGGTTGCAGCGTCGGAGGTTTGGAGATGGCGTCGTATGCTCCGACCACCTCTTGCCCTTCAGTCTTGAGATATGAGACCACAGATTCGATGATATTTGGATCGTTTTGGTCAAAGCATTCCTCCGCCCCGAGCGACTTCACGAACTCATGGTTCGGCGGTGAACAGATGCCGACGACAGTGTAGCCCGCCTGTGCCGCGAGCTGGACACCGCAGGAGCCCACGCTTGAAGAGGCTCCCCAGACAACGAGAGTTTTGCCCTTTTTCTCGGCTTTGCCCCTTACAGGAGGCATATCCAACCCCAACATCATCTCGGGAAACAGACAGCTGGAGGCGGTGGTCACACCAAGCGGCAATACAGTCGCGTCTTCGTAGGACATGGTCTCGGGGATCTTTGCCACGAAGGGGGAAAGGAGGACCACATATGTTTGGAAGGAAGAGTAGGCATACACCTTTTTGCCGCGCCACTGTTCGAGGTCATCCCCAGTAAGATCCAAGTCACTGGAATCTTTGATTCTCAGCGGCCCTGTCTGACCGATGACGCGATCGCCGACCTTGAGATGGGAGATCCGGTCGTCCATCTGCCCTTCACGGGGAAGCTCGACAACCTCTCCAGCAACATCACATCCAAGGACACATGGGTAGCCGTCTTCCTCTGAGATGAGGATACCGAGCTGTTGGATGGCCCAGTCAGCAGGGTTGATTGCCACGGCGTGGGCTCTGATCACCACTTCGCCGGAGGATGGAGGCGAGTAGGGGGCCGGAGAGATCGTGAGGGCTGGTGCTTTGGGCGAGGGGAGGATTGCTGCAGTGTTCAACGGCGGCATGGTCAGGGTACTTGATTCTGGACAAGCAACCACCTATTAGGCTTCGAAGAGTTGAGATCCAACCAATGTAGGTATCAGCAGCTTTTGGTAGACAACCTGGATTTCTCCTATTGTCTTTCAGCAAGAAGTTGGGAAGTTGGTGAATAGATGCATTTATAGGTGCACTCTGACAAGGCTTGTAGAAAGACAAAGCCCGTTATCGCCGAAACATGCTTAAACGCCTGTGCTGTTACTATTGTGTACTACTCGTTCTGTGTACGACTGGTGGAGGGAAAGGGAATCCGCATCCACAGAAGCTCGGAATCCCATCTCGGTCAAGAAGAGCGACAAAGCCTTGATATCCATGGTGAAAAGCTGTAGTTATTGGCTAGCCCGGCTTCATGGAGGCGGTCGGAGAGGGGGGAATACGAGCGAGGGTTTAGCTCGAGATGGGTTATACGAAGGCAGGAGAAGATCGACACTCTCCATTTCACAAGGTACTATACGTCGAGGGTTGGATACGTAGTACCTACAAAATCCGATAGCTCCACGTTGTCGCATGTGCAGAGTGCAGAGCATCTCATCTGTCGTGTCTTGGATCGACTAGAATTGGAGAGCCTCGCGTGAAAGTTGTGCCCGCGACAAGGCTGGGATGAGGCTCAGACGAGGCTGTGACACGCCAAGAGTCATCATGGAAAATCATTATTCCAGGACTCGCGGAGAGGGCCAGTTTGGGGGAATGTCATTGAATGCGGTGCCTGCGAACCGCGGACTGCCAATGTCCACACTTATTCCTACCACAATTCACACCATTGTATCACTTCATTTGCCTCGTTTAATGATTTTTAGGTTGCTTATCTTGGACTTCGGAGGCTTGACTCTCCGTGTTATGTGATACCATTTGCGCAGTTCCCTTATATGAAGAACATGGATTAATAAATCTGCATGTGCGTCTCTCGATTTCCGGCTTCGACCGACGGTGACGATGAGCCTTCGACATCCTCCACGACTGGATGTGTCTGAAGAAGATGGAACCCACCTCATCGGGCAGCAGGTTCGGCATGGAGTACCAGATGAAATCATCGCTATGCTGGCTCGCGCAAACCGCCAGGCTACCGCTGCCAACAGAGCTGCCAAAATCGAGAAAGAGAGCGTTACTGCAACTAAAGCCGACCCCCTCCTCCCTCCCGTTGCCACCGATTTTGGTCCCGAGACTCTGATTGAATATCTGCGAAGTGAGGCCGACAGGTTGAGGCGTGAACGCAAAGCTACATCGGGAAAGGGTAAAGGGAAAGCGAAAGAGGCATTGACACCGGCAACATCTGGCGTACTCCATCCGAGCAGCACTCCAATATCCACACATGGTCTGCGTTCACCATCTGCTACCCCAACACTCGCTGATCCAGTCGATGACCGCCAACCTGCTGTAGGACCTGCAACTCGACGATCGCAACGTCTGGCACGCGGAGACTCTCTCAATCAGGAGGCGATTCAACCTGCAGGTGAGTCTAAGAAGACACCGCTGTCTCGGCCACTACTGCCGACGCCATTTCGGCCTGAACTATCTCAGCAGCCCTCCATCCCAGAAGATGACCTCACCACACGACCAAGCGGTACTGGTCCCTCCAGAACGAGCACATTCGAGGAACACACCAGGAACAAGAGAATGGCTGTTAGAAACACTGCTCAAAAGGATTTGACAAGTCCGCTGCTTACAAGGTCGCGTCAGAGAAGACGTTCGAAGGGCTTCTTATTCTCTGGCGCGTCAACTGCTGTGGATCCCACTTCATCTGCAACGCATTCAGAGCTCCCCTGTCCGGACACTCCACAATACGACGCCCCAGAGTCTCCTCAGATCTCTCTGTCCGAGAATGAACCTAGTGGTTCAGTACATGATCTTGTATCTTCGCCCCGACTGCTGGCCACTAACAACAGAACTATTCAGACCTCGCTCAGTAGACCCATCCACGACCTGCCGAACAGCCAAGCCTCGAAACACAGATCCTCCACGAGTAAGGACGTCACGCTTGCTGGGTCAGAGGCCCATTCCTCTCCAGTCAGTACTTTCGACTATGCCAGCCTCATCCCTGAAGTCATCCCTCCAAGCGCCAAGAAGGAGTTCATCGACCAGACTACGCGTGCGGAGCAGAACAGTTCAGCCGATTACCCAAGACGAACTGCAGAATCAAGCAGGCTGAACAGAGTCCATCACGTCGGGCCCCCGGCTCCTTGGACCCAATTTCCCCTTCCCTTTTGGACCCCTCCGCGCCATGCAATCACCCCCGCCGAAAGTGATGATCCGTACGCGAAGGACGTTCCAACCCCAGCCCCCGAAAAGCACTACCCTCGCCTCTGGAAGCCCACGGCGGCTCCTGGCACGTCTCCAACGAGCACAAGATTGACCAGAATCCGGTCGTCTCGACGTGTCAAAGCTTCCGGACCAGAATCAAGTGCTCTACAGCTGTTTGATGTCGTTCTGTGGACGGAAATTTGCAGGTTTCTTTCTACGCAAGATGTGAGAAACCTCCGCCTCGTCAACAGATCTATTGCACAAATCATAGCTCCAATCCAGTTCAGGAGCGTCGTGGTCAATTTCGACAGACACTTCTTCGGCACGGGTGGCAGTAATTGGGATAGCAAGTCCGGGCTCCTACCCACCAACTCGATGTTCAAGAAATACGGCGCCAATATCAACAAATTTGGCGTGTCTTTCGAGTACGATCAGCAAGGATTATCGCATGCTAAGACGAAAACCATTGATAAGGAACAAGATGCATGGTTTGGAACATTCAAATGGCCTATTGAACAATACCCACGCTTTCCAGAACTGCAAGCTCTCGAGGACCTTGTTGATCATAACTGCCCGTTGCTCAAGGAAGCACTCGAAAGTATCACCGGGGCGTCGGAGCTTGGATTGTGCATCGACAGCGGTCACGGCTGGCTAGAAGGCCCTGATATTTCCGATATGGCTCTTTTCAATCGACGGATGGCGAAGGGGAGCAAAGTCTTCGGGAAGACGTTCGAAACCGAAGATGTTTGGATCACTTTTGCCCGTAATGAATACTTTAGATGGGCCCAACAGAATACCATCAACGCAGCGCTAAAGGCGCTTATGACGAAGCAGACGACCCCAGAGTCTGCTGTTAAAGAGTTTCACTTTTTGGATGCTCTCAGGATTCGTGACATCGAGAGCTTCAGAAATCAGGACGAGCAATATGATTACGACCCGGAATGCCATGTGGGAGGTGGTCCAGTTCTGGCAGTAGAAGCTCTCGCGGATGACGGTGGCGAGCTTCCTACCCCTTTTCAGGTGCATCAGGTTGTGCGAGAGCGCCGACTCGCAACCCATTCCCAAAACGGGGGTAGGAGATCACCACAGTGGCCACTAATTTTCAGCGGTCAGAATCTTGCTGCTGAGCATGGAGGTCACTGCCCTTTTGTCCAAAAGAACACCGCCAATCCTGTCGCATCTCCACTGCTGCCCGGATTGCTCACAGAGCCGCAAGCTCAATGGTTGATGGAAACTGTGTGGGCGCAGCGGGCTTTCCTATCCGCTTACACGACAGCCATCATTACCCACAGGCAAAACTTCCAGTCGATCCATACCCTCCGCATCAGTAAATTGTCCTCTGGGCTCCTCCCATGCTTAGAACAAGAAGAATTCTGGAAGAGCTTCTCTGGACTCAAGACGCTGCAGATCTTGGTAAGCCCGGACTGGCGCCAGGAGCACGTAACGGGCGATCGACTATTTGCTAAGAACATGCGCATCTGGCCCTCCAAGGCTGCTGAGAGGTTCACCGAGTTTTTGAGAACATACGTTGCCAAGATAGAGAATCTGCACAGCCTGAACATTGGCTATACTGGCGGCGGGGAACATGCTGCTGGCATGTTTGCACGGAATAAGCACGTCTTGCACGCGCCGATCACCCATGATCCGGGGCCTTTCCTGATTGACGACACCAGCAAACCGACATGGCCGCTTCTCACAAAATTCGACCACGTACGAGAGCTCAAATTTGAAAATTGTTGGTTTACTCCATGGATGCTGCAGGAGTTCATGAAACTTGGCAGAGACACAAGTCTCCATTCCCTAATCCTTGACTCCGTCAGCATGACCGCGTGTCATGATGACGATCTCAACACGACCATTGGGAGAGTACCGGGTCATCTTCGCTGCCTTCACCCTCTAGAAGACTGGACTCAAGAGACTTTGCCCATCGGCGCCTCCTGGGCTCGAGTCCTTGACGCTATTACGCCGGGGAAAACACTTCTTGCACACAAATACGACGCGGGACTGATTGACATAGGAGCTTATCCGAAGCCTAAGCCAACGTTCCGCGGACATGTTCAAGAAATCATCCTTAACAGTTGTGGCTATGTCAAGATCAACGTTCCAATTTCGTTCCAGAGTATCTATAACCAAAATGCGCTAGTTCAGGGCCCCGAACCTACCATGGACGATGCCCTGGCCGTTCGTAGGGAACGATTTTACAAATGGCCAGTGGTTGAAGGTGAGCAAAGTGCGTCGTCCCGGACTGCTGGCTCTCGAGCCTCCGAGATGTCGCTGGCAAGGATCATGATGTCTGAGTCATCCGCGGATTACGCAACAGTTCCTTGGTTGGGCACATTGACTCAATGCATTCATCCGATTGAAAAGCGCGTCCTCGAGCAGGCGTGGCAGATGACTTTTGGATGGCCGAATAACCTTGATCGATGGGCTGCGGTCGAAGATGGACAGTCTGAAGGTGGTACAGGACGGTTCAGTGGTGTGATCAGGAAAGCTGATCAGACCATGGAGGAATACTGAATTTATTTGACTGAGAAGCTCTTTAGCTTGTGGCGAAATCTTCCGGTGCTTGAACGGGTGTGGTTATTATCTTATGATGACTGCTGCTTGCTCCAGAGTGAATGGCACCAATTGGACATGGATATTGTTATGGTGATACTGACGAATTCGGAGCGGCAAGTCATCGGGAGGTTGGAGAAAAAGGCTTCGCTGTCTCCAAGTTGCACCAGCAAGGCTGATGGGCTACGTGAACCTCTGCTACCAGCTGAGGCGTCTGGACTCGCTGCTCTGGACCTCCTCTCGTTCCGTTCCCGCCTTTTTTTTCTTTCTCGATACACTTAGCATCCCACGTGGTCTACATCTGGTAGCGATGCCACTTTGCCATTTCTTTTGGATGCTAGCACTGGCCAGCCTAGACGACAAGATCATAATCCGGTCTTCGTCTAACCTCGATGAGCGGTCCGTCACGAGCGGCGGAGAAGTTGTCCAACATTCTGTACTCGTCGTATTCCTGCCCAAGGGCCTCCTCCCTTCCTCCACTGATGTACTTGAAGTCGTACAAGAACACGGCCCGGGCAAGAGTGACCCAGAGCTCGATATAGGCCAGTCTCCGGCCTATGCAAATCCGAGAACCGTATGAAAAGGGAGCGAACGCGTCCAGGGCGCGTTTGACGTTGTGTTCGCCGCTTTCGACAGCAATCCATCGACTGGGATTGTGCCGGTGTGGCTGGTCAAAGTATCGGGGGTCGTGCTGAAGAGCCCAGGTGGTCACTGCAACCTCTACCCCTGGGGGATAGTGCTCGCCGTCAATGTCGATTCCGCCTGGGAGGACCTTTCGCGGCAGATAGCCTGGCAAGCTCGGGTTCATTCGCAAGGTCTCCTCCACGACGGCCTTGAGATAGTCACAGCCTTCCAACGTCTTTCCCAGTTGGATTTCTTCCACCTTGGAGAATCTCGACCGGATCTCCGTCGTGAGCCGCTTCATGGTCTCCGGATTTCGCGTGAGGTAGTAGAAATTGGCCGCCAGCTGGGTCGCGGTAGTATCGGAGCCTGTTTTCGGGGCGTGATTGCTTAGGGGCGTGAACGCGGCAGTGGTTGGCTTTTCTTTTCACTCACCAGCGATCACCATGGAACGACAATCGGCCATGAGTTCTTTGGTCTCGTACCCTTTGCCCGACTCTTGCGCCTTGAGCATGTAGTGGACAAAGTCCTTGCGCTCGGACTTGCTGGCAATCCTCTCGGTCAAGGTCTGCCGGACGAACCTGATGAGCTTGGGGGCGTTCTTCACTATATCCCTTGCCATATATTGGTCCAACCCCAAGCGAAAGATCAATTGGCTGGAGCCACTCTGGTTGATTCATGGATTAGCTTGTTGATTGAGACATTTGAGCGAAGAGATTTTGAGGGGGAAACGGGACTGACGATCAAAGATCGGTGGCCTGCTGCATTCACCAGGTTAGGAATGTCGCGAAGCTCCTCGCGCTCAAGCATGCCAAAGTCCTTTCCAAAGGCAACGTCCGCCATCACGTCGAATGTCAAATAGTTGCACCACAACCCCATATCCACCACCCGTGCAGACTCTCTGCCCGAGGGGCCGATCTTCCGGATGAAGGTGCGGACATGATTGAGGACAAAGTCTTCCATGTCGCGAAGCGCCGCGTCGGTGAACCCTGGCGCCAGGGCTCGACGCTTTCGAGCGTGCATCGCCCGGTCCGTGGAGGAGAATGTGCTGGGAAATCCGGCGTGGTGGGTGACGACATCATAGACAAACCCCTTTTGAACGTTTCGATTGACTCCGTAGATGTCTTTGCCAAAGGTGAGCTTTTCCCCGTGACACCCTCTCATACTGCGAAGACAGTCGCTTACCTCTGAGTGCTCCCACTTTGTTGATGGACACAATATTTGGAGCCACCCGGACGACATCCCCTTGAGCAACCGGTCGTCAGTCACCGGGCTTGAAGTGATGGGACCCGATTTTCGGTGTGCTTACCGTATTTCTGATGCTGCCTGTAGACATAGAGGTGTCGGTCGCCAATCAATGCATGATATGCAGGGTGAAGCCCCGTGACCTTTGCAAGGAAAGGTCCGGGATATTTCGAGAGGGGATGGAAAAAGAGCCGGTAGATCACCAACACCAAGGCCTGGGCATGTCAGGTCAGGGCCCCCGCTTCAACACAGACAATAGGGGCGTTCTTACAGATATGAGAGTTGTAGTCGCGCACGCAAGAGGTAGAACCCAGAATAGGCCCCATGAAGAGCCATCTGGATACATCGTCACGGTGGCCCGTATGGAGGCTGCCAGCAGTTCCTGGGAAGAGAGCCGTCGTGTAAGACAAGATCTCCGGAGTGATACATGAGTGCTGCCACCGAGAATGAAAGAGCTGGTGTTTTTATCCGTCTCGGGAGGGTATGATTAATGGGTTGCTGCGAGACAGGGAGTATTCGAATGGGGCAGCGTATGGCATTCTGCCGAGATTTCCGCGTTTCTGCCGCGGAGGCGGAGAGGGCGGAGGCGCGGAGACCCCGCAGTGCAGCGTCGGTGTCTGTTCTGCCCGACCTCATATCTGAGGCCGTACGACCGAACACAACCACTGTAAATGGTCATAGGGGAAAAGTCGGCTAGGCCGCCCTAATATATCCTTCAAAATGGTGCTGTCAGATAACCAAGCAAACAACAGGGTGGTATCGAGACAGAGGACACATCTGATTTCAGGCGGATGAGCTCAGCCTTGTGAGCAGCGAGACCGAGACTTGCGTGAATATCTCTCAAGTTCTACCAGATACATACTGCTCAAATGGCCGAGGAACCGTACACTCTGTACTATGCGAGTCATTCTATATGCTCGATCATGGTACGTGTGACTTTTGCCCTGCGTGGGCCGCCCAAACACGGCAAGGGCCTGCAGATCCAAGAGCAGGAGGTGGACATCGGGGACAAGGCCGAGCAGATTGAGGAGAGCTTCCTCTGCGATATCAATCCTGAAGGCTACGTATGCAGCACCTGTGGATATACAAGCGTCGCCACGACTGAGCTGAGGACCTAGGTGCCTGTTCTCGCCCATCCGCAGCTGCTCCCCAAGCCCATGCCCGAGAGCGTCGACATCACGCGGTACTTTGCCGAGCACTATCCACGACTTCTCCCCGACGAGCATGCCGAAGAGATCGAGAGCCTGCTGGACGCGCTCCACCAGATCAACTTCTACGCCCTGACCTTCGGCGGCTTGCCGCACCGCGGTGAAGTTCTCCAGCAATGCCTTCGGGCCAAGCTTGCCCAGCCAGGCATCTCCGATCGGTATCGACGAGCCTTGGAGTACAAACTAGGGCAGTGAGTGGCCTTTACAATATCTTTGTGCTTGGGAAACTTTGCTGACAGTGCTGTGCTCTGCACCCTGGAACAGACGCCAGGCGATGGAGCTGAATATTTTGCCTGAGCAGATCGCCGCGAACGAGGAGCGATCGCGCACGTTCAACGCCCAAATCGAGGCGCTGATGGACAAGCACGCCAATGGGAAGAACAGCAACTATATCTACGGCGACGAACCCACCGCCCTAGATGCACATGTGCTTTGCTTCCTCTCCCGGCTATATGACAAGGGCAGGACTCACCTCATCTCGCCGAGGCTCCTCAAGTATCTCATGGACTTTAGGGAGGGAGACGCTTGGAAGGAGGTGGTGCCATCCGGGAGTACGGTTCCCTTGTATATATAAAAGTTGTTCCCTGCGGAAACGATAGCACTAGCTCTGCTGGGTATTCTAAGTGAGGGAAACGATAGACGATCATTCAGAGGTACCCACCAAGAATTTCTGGCAATACGATGCATCGACCTTGATGCTCCATTCCTCTAAAGAGATACCACCTCATGACAGACTACACTCGGTTCCCCGGACCTTAGTTCCTTGGTAGGATTAGAGGTTCTACAATGGTGCCAACGCATTACAATCTCCAGAGATCACATCGAAGGATAGTGACCGTTCATTTAATCCCTTCACTACGCTTGTCCTCGGCCTCTGTAGGAGAGCATTACAATTAATTGCAGGAAGTGAGGTGTCGCCGCTGTGGTTGGCAACGATGCTGTAGGATGCAGGGAAATACTCATTTAGGGAATAATGGCGTATCAAGGCGAATCTGTACTTTGGCCGCCGCTCTGCAGACACTGGGATTTTCTCGGTTAACAGGCAATTAGTGAACAAAATCTGATTAATGTGACATTAGACACCTTGTGCTGAGGCTATGAACATGGTGGAAGAAGCTAGAACTCGTCAGGGTCCAAGAACTTTCCATTCCTTCTGGCCCATGGCTTTCCTTGCATAGCCCTTCAGCCCCTCCGGAACCACATCCTCTCTCCCGACCTTGAGCATTCTGTCGATGAAGACGATCAGATGCGCGTCCAAGGCCGTGGGCCTAGGCAGCCCGAACAACCACGTGGCAGGGCGCGAAAGGTTGCCTCCTCCGTCCTTCGGGGTCGCTTCTCCCAGGAGCGAGTCAAACTGCTGCATGAGGGCTCGCGCGCGCCGACTCATCTCCTCGACCGTTCCGGGGTCGAGACCGGCGATTTTCTGCCGTTCGATCCTTTTTTTTTTATTCGCAATGTCAGACATGGCACGATCGTCGAGTGGAAAGAGAGAATCCTGTTTCCTTACACGCCTAGTTTGAAGGTCAACGCCGCTCGGTATCGGCCGCTGATGTCGCCGTCGAGTCGTTGCTGGACGGCGGTCTTGAAACCGTGGGCGACGTGCTCCCTGCCGGAGAAGGACAGCGAGAAGTAGTTGAGCGAATGCAAGTCGGACAGGAGACTCCGTATTTGGTCCGCGTGCGAGTCGGGAATCAGGGAGGGGTACAGGCGCGCAATGTGGTGTGTTATCTGGAGGCTGTCGGGGATGGTCTTCTCCAGCACAGGAGAGGCGAGCACAGGTACCTTTGCGGCGCGTTCAGCACCGATCCAGACAAGTCGGCACCGAGAGGACGGAGACTCTTACCTGTCCGTGGGGGTTGATTTCGCACAGAAAGTGTTCAGACAGCTGCTCTTCGTTAAAAATGTCGATGCTCTTCTCCTCCAGCGCAATGTCGCACGAGTCGTCTTTGGGAGGACCCCTGAGAGCAAACGTGTAGCGAACCATTCTGGAGCAGATTGAGCCATGGTTGTGATACAGCGTATAGACTGCTTTGGACGTAGTCATGATGTCTTTTTTTCGTCTGAAGCCAGCATAGACTTGGCCTTTTTCTGTGCAGGAAGAGAACCCCGTCTCACGAGCTCCTTGCGCTCTGAACTTGCATACTTCGTTGAGGTGGACAATCTGCAGAATGAAATCCAGATACTCGTCAAAAACCCCCTAAATCCTCATGATTCGCTATACACTTTTACCATCGACATTCATTAGAACATGACTACACCCCGACACAACCGATAGTGCTCCGCGGGTATGGTACGGATACCAGATGTACCTGATGCCTGTATCCGTTTGATCCATGAGGTCTAGTCCAGTGTACGAGCTCCTGTACGACTCGACACCGATGGCTGAGCACCGAGGCCGAGACGGGCTCTGCGACTCCGTGGCCGCGACTGAAAATAGACGTCGTTGGTATCCGGCTAATCACAAGGCCCCTAGATCGAGAACATGTAACGAAACGAACCTCTAGTGAAGCAAAGCTCTCCAAGGGTATTGAGGTCGGAGTGTTGTTCGAGCTGGAAGGCGTTAGAGCATCCATCGTAGCGCGATGCGAGACGCTGACAGGTGGATATCGCCCGTTGCCGAAAGCGGCAAGTGAAGCCTTGGATGTCGGATCAATCGGTCTCGCACTCAGTCGTAAGAAGTGACTTGATTGGTGGCTCAGTGAGCTCAAACGCGGCCTCATCCCTCTCCACGGATTATGGGTGGCCACAAGAACGCTATAACGGTAAAAGTCAGGAGAGCCAGTCGACCTATCCCTACTACCCCAGTGTTATTCGCACGAGAAACCTCTGTCCCTGAAACCACACAGCCTTATCCCTTATTCTGGACTTTTTCAAACGAGGGTTTCTTTGCCTCACAGCAGCTTGTCCTACTCTCTCTTCTCGTTCTTCCTCCCTCCCTTCCTCTGTCCCTCCGATACTGCGTCAGACCTTCCGAGCAGGGGTCTGCTCGTTCCCACTGCCACCGCGGTTTGACCTGTGACAGCACTGTCCCCATCCACGTTGGTTCATCATGCGCCCGGGATGCATCAAATGCCATGCCGCACTATACAGCACCCACTCTGCGACCATAAACCCCCAGAACCACCCCTCGGTGGTCCAGAGCCGTGAAGTCGGCTGAGCGTAGATTTGGACTGTGCGGAAGACATTCGTCAGGACGATCAACCCGAGCAGGAAGAAGACGAGGCCGACAACTTTGGCCACATCGTGGGGTGGGCTGGACGTCTGCTGGGCCGGCCGACGGCGTCGGATGCACAGCCTGATCAGCCAGACTTTGAGGATTATGATGAGAAGCAGGTTGAGAAAGAGCTGTAGAAAGAGGGATGCTTTGACGAGACGCAGCCCCGAAGTGAGCTCGCCGGATGACCGACCCTCGGGAGAGAAGTAAGTCGCGCAGCCCTGGGCGGTGCAAGCGATGATGGCGGAGGTGAAGATGGAGATGAGCAGAAGGTACAGCGGCGGATGGATTCGAGGAACCAATGCTGGTGGATAGGTGGGGAGGTGGTAGTCGAGATGAAGGATTAACTGAATGCTTGTTAGAGGGGGTGACAGAGCCAACAACAGAATGTGGGAAATAGATGGCTTACGGCATAAAGTGGAACGGTGAAGACGTAACTGTCGAAATTCCCGTCAGTTAACCCTCGACCCGAACCGGACAGAAATGCTCACGTCGCAGTATAAAAGAGTCCCTCGACAGCGCTGACTTGATCAGAGCCATTGAATGCCGAGATTTCACGACATATAAACCCGCCAACTACCAGGCCGGCTGCCATGGGAAGACACATGGTGTAATACCATGACTTGTACTTGCTATCCACATCCAACAGTGTCAGTCGCGGAGGGCTAGCCGGGTCTTGTGGAGCAGTCGACTATCGGGACTTGCCTGCTTTGATAGATGTGCAAGAGGAAGGACAAGAAGAAGAGAACGGCGAAGGCGGATGAGGCGCCCTTTGCCACGTGGTGGAGGTACGGATTGATGGCGACTGAGGTGTCTTCAAGAGGAAACGGAGTGTTAGTCCAGCGCTTCGTGAGTGTCTCAAAGATAGAAGAGAGGCATACCTGGTTCAGACATCGTGGGTGATAAGAGGGCTTGGTGCGGGATATGGAAGGCTATTGTGGAATGGGATAGAGAGAGAGAGAATGGCTAAAATGCTGGACGAGTTGTCAAAGTCCCTGTGCTGTCGACTTATATATGTTCTCTGGCTATCAGGACGCAGCCATCGCTTGCATGCTCTTGTTCAAGAGGGCTCAGAAAACTCCCCTGTATATGAACATACAAAGGCACGAGCGCCTGATCTTCATGAGAGCACACGCTGGTCGTTTGTCGTGCACGCCATAGACAAGGCGCTAGGTGAAGTCGTCGATGGACGAACTGGCGCCTCGAAAACCTCTCTTGAGCCAGCATAGTCAAGGGCCCAAGAGCAGGCTATCACCAAATGGATGAAGTGGTGTGAATTAGGCTTGCTCTCATTCGCCAGGTGGACGTGGCAATCGTATCGCGAATGCGAATACGGGGTGCGCCTTACCCTGAGCGTTGGCGTGGAGTCTGCCTTGCAGAAGATCAGGATTCTAGCGAGTACAGTTTCGACAGCGGAAGATAATTAGACCGATGTCCCAAACGTCATGTGATGCTTTTGGCGACCTGGATCGTAAGACATTGGTGTTTTCTTGCTCTGCCCTTCAAATGCGGAGGGTAAGATGATGAGCGTCGCTCAGTCCAGGGCGTGCTTAGGTCAATTCAATATCGTAACCCTCATCCCGGCGTGGTGAACGCCATCGGAAAAGCCCGACGTCGTGCAACAAGGAGAGATACCTCAATTCATATTGCATGGATATTCTGCCTGCATTCCTCTGCGTCTCTACAAACGAGTGAGGTACCTCCATGGCTACTACGGCAATGAACTCTCGGAACACATAGCATAAGTACAATGAAATGCCGCCCCTAGACATACAGGTTCTACCTGCTGCTGATTGCATTCTGTCTCGCACAGCCCTGCATCTAGGAGCCACTTCCTCCCCCTCGCTCTTCTCGACTCTAGAAAGGAATTAGAATGTGTCGATATCACATGTACCAACGTTTGAGCCAATGAAGTCCAAGCATGGGAAGGTTACAGAGCTGCGCAAGGGAAAGATACAGGTTCGAGTACCCCGTATTAGACTCGCCCTCTCCTAGCACGTGACAAAGCAAACGCGGGGGCCCCTGGTTGTTAGGCTCTATTCCTCTCCACACCTTCGGGAGATAACTAGACCTGAATGCTTATTTGCGCGTCTGTGCCTAAACAAACAGTAATACGTTGTAGCATGGGTTTGTTGTTTACACAGGTTCACCGCGGGCTCGTGTGGGAAAAGTTGCTGCTGATTAAGCTGCCCTAACCACGCACTTCGGCTTGAGCGCCTTGGGGCCCCCCCGCAAGCCCTACTCTATGGTGAACATCGAGTCCGCCTCGTCCTACCGCAAACTGCCTGCGCCCCTCCAAGCTGTACACTGATCACAGCCTGACCGCAGCTGACCCTCGACCAGCTGAAATATATCACCATGATGGCGTCGTTAGGTGATCTGGCTTCCAGGGACTTGTTCAGCGTCCTTCCACAATCCCCAACAAGACTTCTTCGCAAGATACGTCCTATCCTGTCATGTCACCGTTGAACGCATGACGTTTTTGCCTATGAACAACACACCGAGTGTTCCCTTTCTTCGTCCTCCACACCTCCAGCCACGGTGACGATCTACTCGCCCACTCCGCCGGTTACCTTGCCCGGCCGGGACATCATACAATGGATCCGTTGTCAATGACGGCCAGCATTATTGCTGTATTACAGCTCACATCAACCCTCACAAGCTACATCAACGAGGCAAGAAATGCAACAGCAGAGCAGAAGAAGGTGGCAGTTGAGGCTGGTAATCTCTACGGTCTCTTGACCAATCTGCGCTTTCAAGTAGAAGAAGCCCGATTCAACGATCCTTGGTTCAATCAAGTGAAGCTGTTGGGAGTTCCAAATGGTCCGCTCGACCAGTTCAAAGGTGTTCTTGAGTCCATGGTAAAACAATTGCCGACATCTAGGAAAAGAGACCAAGTCAAATCAGCACTATTGTGGAAATTCACCAAAAAGGAAGTAGAAGATGCATTGGCTCGAATGGAACGGTTGAAGACGCTCATCAGCTGCGCCCTGACAAATGACTTGATGTGCGTACAACTGCTTCGAAGAAGAGAATGGCCACTGACGATGGAAGGGCCTTGTCAAGAGCGATCCATGAGGATTTGGAGACGGTACGAGAACAGAATGAACAACTTTGCACGCGGATGGACCGCCTGCAAATCCGCGCGGATCGTAAGTGCGGTTACACGTGTTGGATGGCTGAGCTAAGATATGTGACAGAGGAACTGCAGGATAAATTGTCGAAATGGTTGAACATACCAGATCCGTCCACAAACTACCACGCAGCGCTGCAGAAGCGACACCCTGAGACGGGGCAGTGGCTCCTCAGCGGTCAACGCTTCACTGAGTGGAAAAGCTCGACGTCATCATTGATGTGGCTCCACGGTAGTGGTACGTCGCGGTTGTAGTAGTGACGAAGCAGCACTAACACGCTTTCTCAGCGGGCTGCGGCAAGACCATCTTAAGGTAAGACCATGGGGTGATGTTAGCACAAGTCGTTCTGGCTAAACGAGCTGACTAGCGCTGCATCGTTACACAATATTCTTCAGCATAAGGAGTCTTACCCCGATACGATAGTGAGCTACTTTTATTTCGATTTCAATGATGCAGCGAAACAGTCCTCTGAAAAGGCTATTCGATCATTATTATTCCAGGCTGCTCTACAGGCTAACGACATCCTCCACGATCTTGAAACACTATATAATCAATACAGTGGCGGACAGCAGCAGCCCGCAGAAGACAGTATTCACTCACTGCTTAAAAAAGCAATGGTTCGTTCAGGAGTGAAATACATCATTCTAGATGCTTTGGATGAATGTATAGACCGTGAAGGTCTATTACCTTTTATTCGAGAAGTGGCAACGTCCCAACTACGAGATCTCCATATCTTGGCCACGAGTCGTCGGGAGAAGGACATTGAAGACGAATTGAGTCCGGTTGCGGACCACAATATCAACATTCAAAGTGCCATTGTAGACGAGGATATACGTATCTACATTCGCGATCGGATAGCCATCGACGCGAGGCTGAAGAAGTGGCCAGTGTCGGTGCAGAATGAAATCATGACGGCGTTGATGGAGAAGGCCGGTGGAATGTAAGGATAGTATTCTATCCTGTTGCGCACAGCGTACTAACCGTGGCATAGGTTTCGATGGGTATTTTGTCAACTTGAGTCTATTCGCCAGTGTATCCAGTTGAAGGCGCTGAGAAAGGCGCTATCGTCCCTCCCAAAGACGCTAGATGAGACGTATAATCGAATACTACAAAGTCTCGATTCAGCCGGGCAGCTTCAGAATGCTATTAAAGCCTTGCAATGGCTCTGTTTCTCGAACCGCCCTCTCGAGTTAGCAGAAATGGTCGAGATTCTCGCCATAGAGACTGGAGATCAAGGGGGATTTGATCCGGAGGAACGGCTTCCTGATCCCATGGATGTTATGGTTGTCTGTTCTACCCTGATTGTCTTGAATCCCATTAATAGCAACGGAGATTTCTGGGAAGACAGTGACACAGACAACGTCGTCTCAGTGGATGGGAGTGACAAAGACGCTGACCGGATGCAAATTCGGTTGGCACATTTTTCTGTCAAGGAATTCTTCCTGTCTGACCGCTGTGCGTTTCGTCAGAGTTTTCAGTCACAAGTCTGCCACTCTATTGTTGCAGAAGGTTGCCTGCGTTACTTGCTCCATCTTTGTCACGATGGACCCTTGACTGAAGATCTCGTCGCGCAGTATGCCCTGACGAGATACGCGGTGGAGGAGTGGTGGCAGCACCTGCAGACCATCAGCCGCATTATTGACGGGACACTTCTTGACGGGACACTTCTGCAACTTACCTTACGGTTCCTCACGGATGTGGATGCCTCCCTACTTTCATGGGTACAACTTTACGATATCGATAGCCCAAAAGGAAGGATGGATTTCTCGGTAAAAGCCGAGGATGTGGCTCAGCCTCTATATTATGCGGCAGATATAGGTGTTCCTACAGTTGTTAAGGAGATCCTGGGACGAAATATCGACGTCAATGCAGAAGGGGGACACTACGGCACTGCGCTACAGGCGGCATCAGGTCGAGGCCACGAGGCGGTGGTGCAGATGCTACTGGCCGCGGGGGCGGACGTCAACGCGCACGGGGG